CCTACAATTTGTCCTTTTGATAAATCTTTAGGTAGTCGCTAAGGGTTGTAGAACTCATATATATTTTGTGAAGGTTTAAAGTGCCATTTTTGTTTGGACCAAAAAACTGCAAAAGATATTATCCTGAGGACTTTATTCTGAGAAGGAAGGATTTTATCCTGTGAAACACATCCTAAGGAGTAACCTCAGGATGTGTTAACACTTATAAATATTGTTATATTCTAACAATGTAAAACTACTTTCGTTTATTTACGTGCGCGAATATTGAAAATAAAAGTATAATACCAGTACGATGGACTTCATACTTAATACCATTCTTTTCCAAACAATCTGGACAAACAGATAATTGAATAGATAGTGCATTTAAAATTTTTATTTAATAAGAGCATAATTATATTAGTTACTATTTTTTATGATATTTTTGATAGACACAGAATTTTATTAGATATGAACTCGGCCTAGAGTTGCATTGGTACAATACAGAGAAATGAAAGTTGCTCTATAATCGCGTGCCAGCAATAAAGAGAGAGTATAGATAGCCACATATGGGCTTGCCTATATGTTTTGTCGAATGTCGTAAAAATCTATTCAAAGTTGTACAATTTTGTTAACCATCATTAATTATATATGTAATTTTGTAAACATTACCGTCTACAAAATAGTAATGTAGCATTGGATACATCTATATTGTACATAATAACTAATATAATTTTTTCTGAAATATTGAAAAATTGTCGAAAACACTTAGTACGATGAGACACTTGGAAAAAGAGAACATTTAGAAAAATTTACAATGTCTGGATTTTAAAAATAATCGCATTATATAGACTCGCCTTTAATTTACGCCAGCAGCATACTAGTGAGAGATGATTAACTATAGGTGAGGATGAAGTCGAATGGCCATGGATGAGTCGTGACATTTTTCACGATAACCACGTTAACTTCTATGGGAATTGCATGGGGTCGAGCTTACAGTCCTCAGTGTCTGCCGATAATAACAGCGTCATCCCCAGGAATTAGGTCTCCCAGAATTAGATATCTGTGAAATAAAATGTGGTGATATACCTACTCGTATATTTGATATATATTAATAAAGAATCTATTGTAGTTTCGAACAAGATAAAAAATAATTAAAAGTTATTGTTTAAATCACTACTGTTAACAACAATCTGTTGGCATATTTTATCTACAACAATAACACGTGGTATAAATATAAATTTATTGGCTAAGACAGATATGGCAGTGACGTTTTCCTTGACGGAGGCTGCGACGAGGTTATACATTTTCCTCAAACTTCGCCTCGTCATAGATGTTTGCGAATTTAATTAATAATCCTTTTTTTTTTTTGAGATTTCACTACTTTTTTATGATATTTAGTTTGGCAAACAAGTTAACTGCCTACCCGATGGAAAGTTACCACATTCCATCAGATAGGTAGTGAACTATACGTTGTTTATACACATAAAATGCACTACGGAAATTGTAGAATAGACTGTGATATTCATAGTCATCATTCATCATTTTAGCCATTATTCGTCCACTGTTGGACATAAGTCTCTGTCATAGACTGCCATAAAAAACGGTCCTGAGCCATCTGCATCCACTAACTCCTTGTAATGCATTTCAGGTCGTTATTCTATATAGTGGGGGGTCGTCCTATACTGCATTTACCCGTACGTGGTCGCCACTTAAGAACCTTTCTTTCCCATTGGTTGTCGGTTCTTCGAGCTATGTGACCAGCCCATTGCCACTTCAGCTTGTTTATCCCGCTTATTTAGGCTATCTCGATTATTTAGGTTCTTTTCAGATATTCTTAATTTCAATAATGAAAAAATATTCAAATAATTATAAATATAAATCAATAATGATAAAATATACATATATATATATATATATATATATATATATATATATATATATATATATATATATATATATATATATATATATATATATATATATATATATATATATATATATATATATATATATATATATATATATATATATATATATATATATATATATATATATATATACTCATAATTATAAGCGTATATTATAATATTACCCTCGGTACTTATTATTACTTAACATTTAATTATTAATATTTTATTACCGCGGTGAGACTAATACCATTTGATCGTGAAAAATATAAATTCATATTCCAGTGAATTGTATGTAGCGTAGTGGACTATCACAGTAGTGTTTCACTATTTTGTCTCATTAGACCGGGGATTCTCAAAATGCGGAGGGTAGGCATTAGGTAAAGGGTGGCAGCGGGATATTTGTGTAGCATATAACCAAAAATTATATATGTATATATATATATCACCTTATTGAGGAACCATGTAATGATAACCTAGAGACACAACCGCAATCAATTAAGAAAAGTTTTTTTTCCTAAATTGGTTTAACTTTTTACTGAACCCGGGAACTCATTTACGTAAAAAAACAGACAAGCCACTGCGCTACGGAGGTTGCCTAGGAAATCCTTCCTTGTATTAGGTTGAGATAGAAAATAAAATTATTATTATAAAACAAAGGATAAAATTTTTTAAAGGCCAGTTTATTTGATGGCTCAATTTTGGGAACTACTGTCAAATTCAAATATAATTTCACGAAAATTTTAATTTCACATGACAATTTAATACTATATACAATTTAAGACTATTAGCTCCTATACCATTTTGAATCCTATAAAAAAACCTATAACCATAAATTTTGCCAATCTGTCGTCAAATTATCGCTTCAGTACCTGACTAGCATTCTAACTGTATATTTTTTTATATTAACGGTGTTTTGTCTCTTAAATTTTAAAGTGATTTAAATAAGGAAGAGGTTCTTAATTCACTTGTTTTATATACTACCAATTCTAAACACATTTCGATGATTCTTTTTACAATCAACAGTTGTTTATGTTGGCTCCATATAAATCGTATTATTATCAAGTATTTTGTGTAGTAGAATCTTGAACTTGTTTTCAGTATTCTTTTTAAATTTGAATCATAGGTAATATAACAATTTTGAACCCTAAGGTAAAATTAGGACAATTTTCAACCGAATTAAAAAAAGGAGGAGCTTCTCAATCCGGTTGTATTTTTATGTTTAGGTACCTCATAACTCATTTATTTATAAACGAATTTGAAAAATTCTTTTTTTTTATCTGAAAGAATATATCTTTAGATTGGTCCTATAGAAATTTTATTATAATCGGTTCAATACTTGGTTCAAATTAAAATAATTGGTTTTACCACAATTGAAGACCGTGTTTCTTTTTTAGTGGATACAATCTTTATTATTAAACTAATCACCGAATTAAAGTTAAAATAAGGTAGACGGAAAATCACGAGTAAAATCAATAAATAAATTATTAACAATTAATTTATTTGTGTGTCTTTTTATCACAAACAGACAAACAAATTAATATTCGCATACTTTTATAGAGTATAAATATTTATATATATTGATATCATGACATTAGAATTACCAGTTATGTGGGTTTGGTAATAATCTAGTTTTTAAACGACATGTGACCTAGTATTTAGATTTAATACGATGATATTATTCTGAATTAAATTACTACATAAAACATACCGGTATTTCTATGTACTGTTATATTTTTTTACATAAAATTAAAATTAATAATAAAATATAGTGTCACAAAGTTCAAAGAAATTATGAAAAAAGCTAATTCAAACTCTATCTGGATACAGAAGGGATAAATACGCGTACATGTAGCGTGGCAATCTTTGTATTATCTGAAAATTTTCAAAAATAAAATAAAACAATATTGATTATTTTAATAAAAATTACAATCATACAATTTGATTGATTATAATTCAATAAATAAATAAATGGAAATTGTTTGTTTTCAAAAAAGAAAGATAATTCAGACATTATCAAACGTCGATTTGAATGTAAAGATTTACATTGTCTGTATTAAAATTATGTAAACAGGTTAAGAGTAGTTGTATCTAAATACATTGTATGTACTAGTACATACGTAACATAATAATTATGGAGATTTTGTAATGCAATTAAATAATTTTATACGGGTAGTGAATATTATGGCTTTGGGGTTTATTTATGTCTTGACATAGTTTTACATAGCCCGCATATCGACGTGAATGCAATTTATTTTCTAAATTACTATTCTAATAATGTTTAGCGGGTCTCACCTTTCTCTTTCTAGTCGTATAGTTTTGGTGACTGGTTAGGTATCCATCACCAAAGAACAACAATTCTTTAAGAAAAAAAGATATATTTTTACTCAAGTAAGTTTAGATTTCAGCATTTATAATTTTTTTTTTTATTCCATTCGGAACGCAATTTCGCAAAAAAGAACGGGCAGGAAACTTAGCTGTTGTTCTTTTCAAATAGTTTAGTAAAATAAGTAATAAATTTGTGACAACTTTGTTTAAATATTGTAAATAAGTATAAATAAATATACTTACGTATACTTATTACTAAAACTTTACATTGAATAATTATATTTCATCATTGCAAATTTTTCAAAAGATTGACTGGAAGAGAATCTTTTGCATTATGTTATTTTTATGACCGTGGTCAATAAAGAATAAACAAATAAAATAAAAAAGAACATCTACCCTTAATCAGCTTATTAAACAAATAATATGATTTGTTTGTTACCTATAGATGCCTTAAGTGCTCAGACATTTATCTTTTTAACAAATTATAATTAAAATATGAAATCTTTAAAAAGTATTTGGAATTTTCCAATTACAAAATAATTTTTGGAATATGAATTTGAACTATAATATTTTTTCTATATCCAACTGAAAAAAAAATCATATAAATTATATTTTTACTTTTATGAAACATAGAATGGCAGACAAGCTGACGCCCAACCGTATGGAAAGTGGTAACCATCTCTTATAGACAGGAACAGTACTATTGATATCACAAAATATATCGCAACTACAGTGTTATGCTTGTGTTATGGTATTTTATTTAAGACGTCCGTATTTTGTTTGCAGTAACAGCGATGGGCTGGAGTGTGCTACTATCGGTGTTGTACGCGGTCCAGTTAGTCACCAGCCAGGAGTACTTGCTCCCTGGTGACATTCGTCCTACTCATTATGACGTTAAAGTGGTGTATGATATAGATCCGACGACTAATTTTAGTTTCTATGGACTTGTTGATATAGCGGTAAGTTTTTTAAATTATTGAATAGAATATATAAAAAGGGGTAATAAAGATTACATTTTATAAAAAATATCAAATAAATAGGACTCTTACGAAGAGACACGTACTTAGTGCTAGATAAATGTGGGTGGGACAACAAGCTGTTAGGTAAGGTAAGTGAGTCACTTAAAATATTTGAACTTGAAAAAAAATATTTACGTTAACATCGTTTGATGTATTCGAATTTTGTTTTTACTCTACACTAGCTCGCAATTTCATACGCGTAGATTTTGGAGGTAGATGTAAAATAGCAATATAAAAATTGCATTAGATTTTAAGTTATACGTTCAGGAATACAATTGTAAAAAGCGTATTTAATATGGTGCAGTAATTTTTGCGTGATACCGGAATAAACATACTGAAAAGCAGATACACAAAAATAATAAAAAAATATTACTTTGACTCTTATTGATCCCTTATACCTACTATAACTTTTTTGTCTAGTTCCAATTTTATTATATTTATAAGATTTGTAAGGGCCACTACTTTAAACATTTCACTTTTCTGACATAAAAGTGATACTGCGATATAAGTTCCAAGGATTACTTGTTCCGTTTTAAAGACGCTGCATGACAGTACTAACATTGTTGAGTTTATAAGGAATGTGATGGTATCTCAGTATGTTAAGATTACGAAGTGTTACCACTTATTTTCATTCTTAGGATGTCGTAAGAGGCAACTAAGAAGAAGGTATATTTGCACACAGTGCAACGAAAAATTCTAATTAAGTTTAAACAGAGCCGCTTTGCTAATACAAAAATAGGCTATAATATTTTCCCTATTATTCTGTCAGTACTCAGCAATAAGACGTCAGATTATAGATGATTAGCTTTTATTCGTGACTTCGTCCTCATAATCAAGATATGTTTACTGATCGGAATAAAAAGCAGGATAGGATTCACGCGCATAAGGTCGCAGGGAATAGATAGTATAAAATATATATTTTAAAATTATTTAACATTACCATGTAGGGTACTAAATACGAATTCAGTACTCACAAGTTCCTTATCTTTATATCTGTACATAGTATAAAACAAAGTCATTTCCCGCCGTTTGGACGCTTAGATTTTTTAAATACGGTTTTAATACGGTTTTTATCAATAAACAGAGTAATTTAATTTGAAGGTTAATACGTATATGTTAATATTGTTTTATGGATTTTTTTAAACATGACGATAATTCCTTAAGATGTCGGAAGAAACCAAGTCGTCTGAGAGCTTTAGTCAAAAATTTTGAAATTTCACAATGTATTATATGTTAGAATTGTTCCCCTTTATTTAAAATTATACAAACTGTGTGAAGTTTAAAAAGCTATTTAGAGGCTTGTAAAAACAATATTATCAATCTCTCCAGACTACATTGCTTCTATATTGCATCCATGCGAAGCCAGGGCGGGTCGTTAGTATGATATAAATGTACACTAAGAAAGTATTTCAGAATTTTCCACAGAAATAGAAAATGACGGATTCGGTGCAAATAAACCCATGAAAAAATAATATTAAAAAGATAAATAATATTTTGTTTAACGGGTTACAAATATAAGTTGACCGTTACTGCCATTTAAATCACAATCATTGGATACTTATTCTTGTTATTGTACACCGTTATTTGAACAATAGTCCAATTTGCATACTTGACAACTATTTGTCTCTCTTACATTGTGATCATCCATTGAGAGATTTACTGGGCCGTACTTATTAAATAACTAAACTGCAAAGTTTGTTTGTATATTCAATACATTGACTTGTAAGATTCTATTAGATTCATATACTTTTTGTCAAACGACTTACAAAATGTTGAAATTCGAAATTTAAGGGTAGTGTAAATGTAAATCCTAGAATTGTGCGGTGCACAGTCCAGGATGTGAGCAGAGCTTCCAGCTATAATATCTGGGAGTACATATGTGCTTTTTTAAATGGACCAAGTCTTCCCTGAAATAATTTTAAATACGCTTATAGTATTTTATTAATATATAGGTAATAAAACTGTAGCTAGACAATATTTGTACATAGGATATATTTAAGAAAAACTAGTAGAATGGGTTTTAATAGGAACGGTAAAAGCTAAAACAATAAATTTTAGAAATTTTGTCTGTTATATGTTTGTTCCGATATCACGCAGACATTACTACTCTAAATTGGATGCGGTTTTCATAGTTGGGTCCATGAAGGGCTAATCGTCATGAAATAAGGTATCCATGTGGTATTAGAACTGGAGAGTTGTTACATATATATGGTTATTTTATTCCGATTAAACTAAAGGTATTGCAAAAATCTAATAATATTTCATTCAAGTTTGGCAAATTTTAGCGAAACTTGTTTGACCTTCAATAGTGCTAAGGAGCCTTGTTAATATACCAAGGGAAATCATTGCGAGTGAGTATTAGCCATTCACCTCGACCCTTGTGTGTGTTGGTACAGAATACTAATGAAACGGAACTTGTGCGGTGTTGGCCAACAACACATAAATATTTTATTATTTTTTCCTATGCACCTATCAATATTATAGATATACTATAATAAAAATACAAACTCTAATTTTTACGATTTTGGACGTATAAAAAATTTTTATGTTTGAAAGAAAACCAATAGCCGAGTCTTTTTACCATTTATCTCAGCTAAAATTGATATTCCCAATAGAGTCATACACATAAAATATATAAAATATGTATGTTGTATTCTTTTCTGCTCAATTCAACAAATATATAATATATATAAACAATATATATATATATATATATATATATATATATATATATATATATATATATATATATATATATATATATATATATATATATATATATATATAAGGGTGTTAGTTTATAATTAATGGCCATACTTGTAGAGACAAAGCGTCTTGAGTTTTTAAGTTTAAGATAGACGCTGCTGCCTATCCTTTGACCATTAAGTTTTCTTAGTCGCCTCTTACGACACCCTTGGGAAAGAAAGTTCCATGCCGGGCTCACACGGCAAATTAAATAAAGGCTAAATAAGACCTAAATCTTAGATGATATTATCGGCGTTACAGTGTATCCTGTGAAAATTATAATATCTTTCAAAAAAAACTTGAAGCTCACTTTTTTACTTTATCCGAGCAGTAAATGCTTTATATTATTCTCAATTCCGTGTATAATATAGTATATGTCATATATGTGTAAGTATATTTGTTATTAATATATATTAATTCGTTTATATATGTAATTTTAATATGCACGTATATCAATAATTACTAGTACCGCATTCGAGTATTCTGACTTCCCTATGGTTGACTGGAAGAGAATGCTTTTAGCATTAAGTCCGCCATATTTGTACTAATGAATAGATAAATTAATAAATATATTCTTATTATTATTACCATATTTTTGTTTGAAGGCAACGGTTGCCACTTTTCAAAAGATGGGGTGTCAACTTGTTTGTAACCTTCTTAAGAAATATATTTTAAAAATTTCTACTTTAGAAATAGAATGTTAGTCATCTTTTTATTGTTTATTTATTTTGTACCTAGTTTCACTTGTGACGATAAGAGATTGTATTTAATCATTGTTATGTTTAGATAGGAGAAATCTTGATTTTAATTTTTTCAAAAGCTGTATTGTAATAATTTGGTGTGAATAATAAAATTGCCTTACTTATTGATATAACCTAGTTTTGTAATTGGACAATAAGTACCAAAAAACATCTATTGTAGTAAAACATGCACGTTACAGCGGTATTATTCATTATTTTGTCATTGAAATGTGAAATCAGTGGAACATAGGTTATTCAAGGCTGGAAGTCACAATGAATATCACTGGTAAATATCGGTAATAGTATAAAGTATATATCTATACTCTGTACCAAACCTACGACAAATATAGAAAAAGATCCTTTTCCTTACAGTTTTGTTATCTAATGTATTTTTTCTTAACTAGGTTTGATAAAATCTTGCATTTTTTTATATTTCGGTAAAATAAATTTTAACAAATTTGAATTAGATATTTTATTAAGGTTGTGATATAAGAAGTAATTTAAATCCGTCTCCAGTCCAAATAGGTACTACTTATGTGTATAAGAAATTTCATGACGATTAGTGGAGCCATAAATAAATGAAGCAGTACCAAACGATTTTACTAATTGTCATTGTGGCGTGTAAATTTGCACAAACACTATACTAATATGTTTATCCAGGATATTATTCATATGTGTATAAAACTAAATTAGCAGACCCGCTCCTTCCCATTTTAACTTGACCACTAAACACATTATGTTAGTAGATATGGGAAGTTCATAATTTGTCATTTTCTGTCCGATCTATTTCCAAAATATTTTCTTTGGAAAAAATAATGTTAAATATTTAACTAGCTTTCAGCTAACCAGAATACCCTTATTTTCTTATTTTTACAGAAAACTGCAATCAAATCTATCTGTATTCAAAAATTATATTATTATATATATTTTTGCAGATAACTGCTGTGAAATCCACTTCCAAAATAGTACTACACGCTCAAGACTTAGTTATATCAAATGGCGGCATCAGAATCATTGGTCAGACTGATGAGCTGCGAGTTACGGCGAGCAAGTTAAATGACACATACAACTTGTTCACAATAGAGTTGGATAGAGAACTACGAAGAAATCAGAGTTACCTCTTGACCATACCCTTCAGTGGTAATTTGAAGCCTGGTTTGAATGGTGTATACATAAGTTCCTATGTTAGTAAGGAGACTAAAATAAAAGAGTGAGTAATTTGATTAATTTTCATTTATAGTTCAGTAACCTAAATACCCAAATATTTAGAGTACCCAAATATTTAGAGTAGAGAGAGATATACTTCTTCTCTGTCGGTCACTCTTATCAGAGTGATCATGGTTGTGTAGATAGTGTACACAGTGAATATTCATAATTTAATTACGATTGTTCAGCCATGCATCTCCATATAATGGGATCAACGGCCTAGAGCATTGTTTTTTGACCATTTTTATGTCGTAGCCCACGAAAAAATAAAAAAGTTAAATAAAAAGTCTTGCGACCCCGTTACTATAGATTTATAAACAAAGTCCTTTCCCTTCTATGGTATATGTGTATCCGTATATGTGATGCATTTGTATACACTACTACCACACCACTACCTTAACAACATGTGATAACAAGTAACGAAAAAACAGGTTAACTAGGTTTGTTTTGTTTCCAATATACATAATACATATTAAATACTGAAACTTTACTTTCCTATTTAATTTATTTATGGATATTGAAAATTACAAATGAAAAAGACAACCCATACTGAATGAAATTAGTAATGGAATTATTTGAAAATCATTCGACAACGAGCGCGTAATACCTCTGGTATTGCAGGCGTTCATAGGCTACGGTAACTGCTTACCATCAGGTGGGCCGTATGCTTGTTCGCGACCTCAGTGGTATAAAAAAAATCCGAATTGTGCAATTCAGTTCAATAATTAGTAGTCGGATCAGAAAAGTCGCGCACTACGACCCCCCTTAATAACAGACGCAACCCCCTCAAGGATTGCGACGTCCTGGTTGAGAAACGATGGCCTAGACTTACTATGGAACCATTATTTATTACTACTCCCAAGGACTTAGTGTAAAGATATATTTATTGCTAATTTACAAAATGTTTATAGGTACCTCATCGCGACCCAGTTCGAAGCCATATACGCCCGAAAAGGGTTCCCCTGTTTCGACGAGCCCATGTATAAGGCGACATATACTATCACTATCGGTCATCACCGGGACTTCACGGCTGTCTCCAATATGCCTTTGGTTACTAGCAGTAATGAAAAGTTAGTATCTAGATCATCTAAAAAGCAAACAAAATCGAAATCATAACAAACCTATGAATGCAATAATGTTTCGTTAAAAGACTAATTGAAAACATATTAATTTATAAATATGAATCGCGTGTCTGCAAAAAGATTTAACCAAATCGGTCTATAATTGGTGACGCAGATACCTTATCAACTAAATATAGACAAATTGATAAACTTCTTCTTTTTTAATATTTAGAAAAAAATGTAATAATGGTTTATTAATGTATTATTTTTGCACCATATATGTTATGCTTTATATACAAACCCTATAAGACACTTTCTCCTTTCGGGTTCTCAAGGTTGCTGGAAGAAATCCTTTTAAGGAATAAGCCTGCTTGTGTATATTTTTGTTATAACCTATACTATAAGTGAATGTACAAAAACATATAGATAAATAAAAATGTACTTACAACTGTTTTCTAAATGATCTATTTTAAACAACGGCATATATATGAGTAGGTACTTTGCCGCAACCTCTTTAATTTTGAGAACTAAAGTTTTAATGTATTTTCTATCATAAACTGCATTTGCTATTTTATCCTACAGAACAACAACATTTTCATTATTAGATGAATTTCATGACAAGAATTAATAGTAAGATAGGCACACAGATTTTTATAAATTCAATAATTTTGCCTATCAAATTTTTATAGTATATCAAACTCTCATTAATCCATACTTTTGTTTTAGTGAACTAGAATCATACTGGAGGTGGGAGCAAATTAGCAAGACATTCAGGTTAGTTTTATCCTTTTATCTACTAGAAAAAAAAAGACTACGGCTATGCCCATGCGGAATCTATTATTTCTGGTTCTTATGGGTATGCCCACTGGATGTTTATTTTTGAAGTCGAAACTACTTCAAATTCTTGAACACACATCCCTAAAATTTCTTCTGGCTTGCTTAAATGTTCGAAATTTATTAGCTCTTATATGTGGTAATATCTAGTTCTTTAATCGTATATACTGAGCATAAATCAATAATTTTGAGACATCGACATGTATGAAATGTACAATAAATATATAGCCCTTACTTTTAATATATATAAGTGGCCGTGTAGTCCGACATAGAGTGGGCCATCCTTCCTTTCTTGTAGGTGTCCTAAGAGGTGATGTCCGCTGCGATTGCCAATTCGCTTGCCAAGCATGGCAATTACTGGCAAAACCCCCCAGCTGTTAACCGTTAAGGGCTGATATGATGATGATGATATAATATAAATAATTAAAAAAATCTAATTGCAATTTGAACTAATTTAAAATAATATTTATCCAGCAAATCGAAATCCCTCTTCGTCTGGGATAGCTTCGAGAAGTCAGTGCCAATGTCCACGTACCTTGTAGCGTTTGTTGTCTCCAAGTTTTCTTACGTGGACAGTCCACCGATGCTGTCTACCACGAAATTCAGGATCTGGGCGAGAAGTGATGCTATAAATCAGGTAAATAATAACTAGCAAGCTGCAACTGTAACCGCAGATGGGTTAGTCAAAGGCATTGTTCATTGTCACTGTAGTGGTGAACAGAATAAATACCTATACCATTCGTTACCGTTAATTAGCAGTTAGCCTAGAATTTATAGTTGGTCAGTATATTGTTTAGTGAGTTAGTATTCATTTAAACAATACAAACATTTTGCAGTATCTCTACTACACAGTAGTGAAAATAAAATAATGCAATATAAATTCTAGGGTTCACTCCAATCAGGACTTACTACTTTTCTAATATTTTTTTACATTTGAATTTTAATGTTGATTAGATAAATTGAGAATTTTCTTACCCATAATAATCCAATAATATATATACTTCGAAAGGTTTTAGTATATCAAACTATAAAAATTATATTAAGGACATTTAAACATCCACAGATTTCATTGTACAAAAGCTGCTTGATGTTTATGTAGGAGTAATTTTATTAACACATGAAACAAATATATCATCAAGTTCTCGACGAAATTTCTAATGTAAAGTATATATTATTCATATATATATATATATATATATATATATATATATATATATATATATATATATATATATATTATCTTAAAATGTATTGATGTTGTTATCTCAAGTGCAATAAAGAATATATATATATATATATATATATATATATATATATATATATATATATATATATATATATATAATATCTCAAAATATTTATTTAATTTACAAATTGTTTTTGTTAAATCAATGCACCGCCATTTACTCTCTTTCTCTCTGTTTAGCGTAACGGTTGATTGGTAGAGAATTCCATCAGGCATTAAGTCCGCGCTATAGACATATTTTAATGTGTGCAAAAAAATATTATTTAAATAAGAGAAGTCTGAAGTCTGTTTGTCTGAGTCTGATCAACGAATTTGAGAAACTTCATCTTACAAATTCGTTAAATCCGTATAAGGGATTTCATAAGTATAAAATGACAGCCCTTCTGAAGAACAGCGGTGCCTAAACATCATTATTTAATTGACATTTTCATGTCTTCTATACTCCTTTAACATATATATTTTTTCACAGGCGGCATATGCAGCTGAAGTGGGACCAAAGGTGTTGACATATTTCGAAAAATGGTTCAATGTTTCATTCCCGCTCCCGAAGCAAGACATGGTCGCCATTCCTGATTTCTCCGCGGGAGCTATGGAGAACTGGGGTCTTATCACTTACAGAGAGACAGCTCTGTTGTATGATAAGACGCAGTCCTCGTTCTTAAACAAAGAGAGAGTCGCTGAGGTACAAATTAGACTAAAAATATAACAGTAGAAGTTTCTCTTTTTCAAATGTCACTTTTAGTGCTTATTATTTTCAAGTTATCATAAAAGATAAATTATGGAAGTAAAGCACTATGTACTAGTGCAAGAAATTTTAACATCATTATATAATTCTACATCAGTCAAACCTCTAATCGACATGGCTAGAGTAGATTTCCTTATTGTTTTAAAACGAAAGACTCAAAAATGAGTAAAATAATAGTTTATTGATTGAATATATTCTCTTTTAGGTTATTGCACATGAGTTAGCTCACCAGTGGTTTGGAAATCTAGTCACTATGAAATGGTGGTCTGATTTATGGCTAAATGAAGGTTTCGCAACTTTTATGGCATCCTTGGGTGTAGCTGAAGTGGAACCGACCTGGAGAGCTGATAGAAACTATGCCGTAGACAATATTCTATCTGTGCTCACCTTGGATTCTTTGGAATCTTCTCATCCTGTGAGTATATAATAAGCAGGTGTTATAAATTTTAAATTTAAATTTGCTGAGTCCCTGGAACTTGATAGCAGGCAATATGAAAACATACAATATGTGTTGCAATTATCATAATTTGTAATCGTTTTCCGTTTACATTTGGTTTTTAAACCATAACTTATTTGAATTTTTATTTTCATATTTTGTATAGGTCTCGGTACCAATTGATGACCCTAAACGTATATCAGAGGTCTTTGATGAGATCTCGTATCGCAAAGGATCAACTCTGATCCGTATGATGACTATGTTCTTGGGTGAAGAAATCTTTAAGAAAGCTCTTCACAAGTAAGTGTGCATGTTGTCTATCAAATTGAAACCAATAACCAACACTTAAAGAAAACTGAACCGTCAATATTAAGGATGTATCAAAATGGATAATGAACTATTCACCTGTGTATATTTCTAATATTGTTATTTTTTCTAAAACATTCTATATAATTTCATAAAAATAAATTCCTACGCGTGACTCCTCTTCAGTAATATAGTTATAATATTAGACTTTCGCGCTGCATGTTTTATATAATAGTTTATAAGAAACGCGAATTAACGCAATCTTTTTGGTCAACTATGATAATTTACCTACATTATCTCGACGTTTCGATCAGGTGTGACCTGGACGAAACTGTCTACCATAGGCAGTGTAACCTGGTCTTAACATTGAAATATGTAATTTAGGTAAATTATCATAGTTCACAACTACATTAAATTGCATTAAAATAAAATTAAACATATGGAAATAAAAAATCGTTAAAATAATTAAATTAATTTGGAATTTAATTAGAATTTAATTAAATTGATTAAATTTAATTAAATTATTTAAAATTTCAACGGTACAATATACTTTATCCATTATTAACATCTTTCATAATAATATTGTAGAATACAATAAATAAATTGAAATAATTGCGTCAATTCCCGTTTCTTATAAACCATAAAATGGGTACTATGGTTGTAAGTATTCGGGGGTAAGTCTAAAAACAACAACCTTAAATATCTTTCTTTGATAGGCGGGCTTGAATAGGTTGGTTTCTCAACTAAAAACCAATAAAGGTTAAAAATGTTTTCACTGGGTATAGGTTTTGAAATATATAATTTGTTTCAGTTATTTAGTTAAGTACTCGTATCAAAATGCAGAGCAAGATGACCTCTGGCGTGAGCTGACTGCTGTAAGTCAAGAATACGGCGGACTAGCCCGCAATGTGTCCGTTAAGGAGGTGATGGATACGTGGACTACACAAACCGGATATCCTTTGCTGACAGTCTCCAGGGATTATAGCCAGAATTCCCTCACTGTCACTCAGGTAGGTGGATTTGAGTATCAGCTGTAAATTGTCCTCTGCTGAATATAGGCCGTCCCCCTTGAGGGGTTTTATAGTAGTTGCCCCGTTTAGCGGGTTTGCCACAGGCTTTAGTAATATTTTTAGAGAAACGCTGCTGCTCATCTTTTGACCATTAAATTCCTTTAGTCGCCTCTTACGTCCCTTACGAGAAAGCTCAATCTATGCTGGGACCATACGATATTTGAGTAATTGTCATAAATTATGGGTTATGAGTCACGTTTCAATGGTTGATCATAGTTTGAATCATAGGGTCTGGATCGCATAAAACAGGTTTTTTTTTAATACAACTCAGTGTCTATATTAGAGGTAATGTTTCTATTTTTACATATATAAATGTTGACATGAGTTATTACGTGTTGGAAAACATATAACTGTGATCCGGAAAACTTACAATCGAATTTTATTTTCATATTTGGATTATATAGATTTGCAATCCCGCAGTCAACACAAATACAGTGTGATCCTACATATACATCTACAATAGATTTAACTCATACCGAGTGTTCTCAACTCATTTCGCGCGGGATTTACAGGATTAATGTGGGAATTTTGCAGGTCCCAATGACATGCACAAAATTATGTTATCTGTTATGTCCATGGCTCATGTCTATAGACGACGGTTACCATTCTCCAACAGGTGGGCCGTCAACTTGTTTGCCATTCTATGTAGTATAAAAAAAAATTGCTGAAATGCGGAAATGCGGAATCCAGCGTTGCAAACCATGGTATTGTTGTGTTTTATATGCCAAGCAACAATAAACCGTCGTCCGATAAATTTCTTCCATCTAAACATTTTATTATTGTCAAAAAAAAAAGATCAAATTAAAAATTAATTAGTAATGAAGTTTTTATAGAGAGGTATTATCGTCTATTCGAAAGTTTTCCTTTCTTTATGAACTTTGTACTTTTTCAACTTCTATGTAATTTTTTTGTTGATACAGAAACGCTATCTAGCTCTAAATTCTCGATCACCAACAACATCGTCGTGGTGGGTGCCGCTCCGTGTACTATGCGCAAGCGACGCGCAAGATTCCAACGAGCCGATAGAATGGCTCGCCGCCAACGAGGGGGTTACAACCGAGCACAGGTTCGAGCATGGCGCCGATCCCGACGAATGGGTACTGTTCAATGCTGACATGATAGGTAAATATCCGTAAACTAGTTTGCGTCAAAAATTAAAACCAAATCTAGATAAAGTTTCGGGCAGCTTTATAGTTATCAGTTATCTTCGCAATGTTTTGATTGATGTTGTTTTCATCTATGAAGGGGGTTTCCCTAAAGATTGAGTGTTATATATATATGCCTGTTTCTCATGTTAGAGAAGGCACTCGACTTTCTTGTTCAGTAAAAAGTCTTACTGCTCATGTCTATAGGCGACGGTTACGACTTTCCATCAGATGGGCCGTCAGCTTGTTTGCCATTCTAAGTTGTATAAAAAAAAACTTATGCTCAGGTGTATTGCTTATATCGAACTATTTGTGTTCGAAACTTACTTATTTAAAATGGCTGTCTAAATAAACCATCTATCAACTTTTGTTTACTGCAGCTCCTTACCGAGTGAACTACGATAAGGGAAATTGGGAGCTCCTTATCGCGGCGCTGAACAGCAAGCATACATCCGTCCCAGTATTGGCTAGAGTGCAACTTCTGTCTGATGCGTTTGCGCTTGCCTGGACCAACCAGCTGGATTACAACATTGCATTGCAGTAAGGAATCTTTAATATTTACCACCATATAATCTATTGGATTCGACCCATACATTACTGTTGATAATTTAAACGACTTTGTATATGATTTATCGAATCCTGAACTGAGTTGTTGATTCATTTAATGGAAAGAGTAATCGTTACCTATAGACATAAATGGTTTCAAAGATTACAAGCGATAACATTCCTGAAAACTAAGATTTGTACTAGAATTTCAATGATGGAATGCAAATAAATATTAACAATATATTTCAGATTGGCAAACTACCTTAAGCGGGAATCTGAGTATCTTCCCCTTTCGACCGGATTAAAAGCCCTCGCTAAGATTGAAAACGTCATAAAACGCACACCGGATTACGGCGCCTTCCAGAAGTTTGTGAGGAAATTGATCGGCGAGACCTATTTTAAAGCCGGGGGCTTGGCTACTAAGAAAATAATCAATGGAGATGATTTAAATAGTGTCAAATTACAGGTGAGTATGTTTGTTTGTAATTAACTGAGTATTTTGTCCATGGGAGACCCAGTGCTATACGGGATCGATATACGTTTAATTGTAGGAAACAAGAAAATTACAAAAATGTTGTGTACTATCATTCTATCTAATTGATTTAATTATAATAATTTTATATTATTTTAGACGGCAACGAGCGCTTGGGCCTGTCGTATGAAGGTTCCTGGTTGTGAAGAAAATGCAATAGAACTTTTCCGTAGCTGGATGGAGACTGATAACCCTGATGAGAACAACCCGTGAGTTTATTTTAAATACTTATAATTTTTTATACATTTATATAATTTCAGGTATTAAAATGGCAACATTTGCTCATTTGTTTGTATGTGTATAAGGCCTACTTTGCCAAAAACTATATAAGACGTTACATGTTTACCTAACCATCTCATGCCAGCAGCTAATATTAAAAATGTAAAAGTGAGTTTGTTTTTTACTCCATGGCGCCCTGGCGATTCAATTATGATAGATAACAGCAATTTCCACCTGAAAATTGCTAACTGTTATCTATAGGCATAAACAGTAGTGTGGACTTTTTAGAAAACGCTGTGACGCTTATTGTTTTTGTTATTTGTTTCCACGTCAGTATCCCGTTGGACCTGCGGCGCACGGTGTACTGCGTGGCGGTGTCCCGCGGCAGCGTGCTTCAGTGGCGGTTCGTGCTCGCGCGCAAGCAGCGCGCCAACGTGGCGGCCGCGCGCGATGCGCTGCTGCACGCGCTCACCTGCACGCGCGAGGTGTGGATCCTCACACAGTGAGTACCGCCCATCATCTCTATTTTATTATCTTTTACTACGTAAATTAATTTTCTGCTAAATTCTGCAGATACAAATTTAAACTTCGTAATGAAACTTGTTTTAATGAAAGATAAGCTAAAATATAATACAATGCTCCCGAGTAGTAAGTATATGATATAAATAAGTAATTGATTTTTTTATTTGTCCTAATAAGATCCGATGTCGCAAAATATTATGAGTAAGTGGATAAACCATTGTCAACAGATATTTAGAGTGGGCTATAACGGACGAGACGGAGGTGCGTCGTCAGGACGCGGCGGCAGTCATCGTTTCAGTTACACACTCTACAGTCGGATACTATGTGGCTAGAGAGTTTATATACAATCGTATACAGGACATTTACAATGCGTAAGTTATTTTCACACAATACAATACTTACAAAACTGTTACAACTGAAATTTTATTAGAAGGAAAGTGTACAAAAGCTATCGGTGATATCCTGGGTATTGCTGTTTCACTTTCACAGCTGGTTTGATTAGTGGAATATGACAGGGAAATTACTGGTAGAGACGTATAAAATTTCAATTCCCCATTATATATCGCAGGTAAGGTAACCACTCCACTGTGATCTGTTAAAAAAAAACACCTCAGTCCTCAGGAATAGCAATACATGAACGATGTTACTGTTCACTCTATGATATCTATGGTACTAATCATGTTATCATGTTGTCGTTGACGGTTATCACTACATACAGATACATCAGATGGTCCGTCAGCAAGTTGACTATTCCAAGTTATATAAAAAAGGTTTACTAGTAAGTTCCATCTTATATATTAGAGCACAAATTAGTGACTTTTACCGCACAGTCAATCTATTTCTTAAGGTCCTTCGTGTTGGTTGAATAGAGCAAACATAAAGCATAAATAAGCAAGCATAAAAGAAACCAGGATCGAAAATAGTTATTTTATTCATAATAGCGAAAAATTTTTTTTTATCAAGTTTGCCTGGTTCATACCGCTCGTATTAGTTCATACCATATATTTTTGAGTTTCGCCATTTGGTAATAACTCAATAAATTACCTAGATATCATTATTATATTAAAATGATTTGCTTACAATTGATGTAATGTAACAGATTCAACAGCGAGGGACGTCGCTTAGGTGGCATCATCAAAGCGCTGTTAGAACAATTTACAACCCAGAGGGAACTTGACGAGGTAATAGCTAATTACTAATTTATAATTATGAAATAATGTATATATAATCCCTTTTGAATATGGTTGATCGCAGAAGCTCTTCATACCTATATATAGATAATGATATCCTATTAATATTATAAATGCGAAAGTTTATAAATATGGATACATGAATGGATGTTGTTCTTTTGCGCAAAAACTACTGAAAAGATTGGAATGAAATTAGTTTCACGGGTGGGTTACATTAAGATATAACCCACCTATATGAGTCAAGTTATAAGATTTAGCACATAGGATAATTTTTATACTGATTCTACTATTTATTTTTTGATATATCTTACTACTGTTACCTTAAATATTCCAGGATTATGTTAATTATTTGTTGGATGTAGGTATATGACCGTGTAGTTCCGGCATAGAATAGGCCACCCCTTTTTATCCCGTGGGTGTCGTAAGAGCCGACTAAGGAAGGGTGAGGGATGGGCAGCAGCGTTCCTATTAAAACATCTTTAAAGCCTAACTGCGGTTACCAATCCGCTTGTCAAGCGTGACAACTACTGGCAAAACCCCCCAAGGGAGAGATTGCCACTGCTGATGTTCAGCAGTAGACAGTTAAAGGTTGATATGATGATGTAGGTATAAGCACAGACACAAGCACCAATTGTCTTTATATTTATATACGATGTAGTTGAACTGAGAAACAATGTTTACTCTTTACTTCTCAAGTTGGACCGAACAATACACATTTAAAAAATGCCATTAAAATCGGTTGGGCAGTTTTGGAGATTCGCGTAAATAAAAATCGTGACACGGGAACTATTGTATAAGTACATTTGTACTTATTTATACACTTTTTGTGATTACCAGTATCTGTAATTTAAAATATTTCTTGAAAAAAAATTCTAACCATATTTTCTTATGGATACAATGATTAAACGTGATGGAAATATTTTAATTCATCTTCTGACTTTAAACTAAATAATCTTCTCTCATAGTTCTTGAAATGGCGTGAGAATAACAGCAAATACCTAGAGGATGCCAAACTGTCTGTGAACCAAGCGATAGAGAAGGCGACAGTAAACATTGCGTGGCTGAACAAGAATAGAAGATCTGTCGTTGAAAGACTACGGGAGTTATCTAAGTAATAAAATTAATAATCTGGTATCTGAAGGTACAGGGAACTAAATGGACCTAATCATGACAAGGAATTGTGCGTTATAAAATCCATACTAATAACGTGATAATAAAACGTATTTTTATGTGTTAGAGCAGTTATTGTTTTTAGATATCAAAGAAAATTATATCTGTTCTGTGTGTTTCACCTGGATATGTACATATTATAAGTTACCTGGATTATTAACGCATGCAACCGCATTACTTTGTTATTTCTCATCAAATAGACAGAACGTAATTTTGCCTAAGCCCTTAATTAGCATTTTTATGCTTAGGACATTATATATGTATATATTTTTTACTATTAAAATAGCTGAAAATTAATTTAAGTAAAAAAATATACTAAAATGATGCCTTATTTATTATGCAGGTTTTCTTTTCAGATAACGTCCATTTAGATCTCGTAGTTACTTTGTAATTTGCTTTTTGTTGTATTATTAATAGCTGAATTTTCCATAGTAAAAGTAGATAGTGCTTAAGTCATATTGCAATATCGAATTTTGGTTTTCAAACTAACAAATGAACTAAATTGTCACGATTAAAATGTCTGCTTTTGTAGTATTTTAACTACATAGAAAATAAAAAATACGTTCAAAATTAAATTGTGTTTTGGCAAATTATTTTATTAACCGACACGTTGACGCGAGTGTTTTTGTAACAAACAAAGATATCTTAACCATTTGCTTAATTTTAAAATTTTACATATTTATACTTACTTCAAAAAGAGTAGGTACTAGAAATATTCTCTTTAATGCAGTAAGAAGAAGTATTTTTAGTCCTTTAGTATTTATAATTATTTAGTTAAGTAGTAAGTATAGTTTCATAGAATATAAATAAAATTTGGCACATGTTTTGCAAAAATACACAAATATATAGCTTTATGCATTTATCAATGAAAAGACAACAGGTTTGTCAATTATAATAAAAGTAGATAAAATGTAAATAATTGTTTTTCTGACAACTTTGTATTTTAGGCTTATTAACAGGTAAGTATATTTTACTGCAAATAAATATGCAACACAAATATAATTGTTTATAGCTTCATTAAAATATCAATTTAATAATTTGTCTATAAATTGTTTAGATACCTTACAAATCCACTACAATTTATAAAAAATCATATTATAAATATATAACAGGGAAACATATAGACTTCTACTCAATTAAAATGTCAAAATATATTTAAAAAGTTTATTATTTTAACCTTTAATATACATATATATGATTATGATCTCTTAATATTTTTTATTTGTTTTAAATATATTATATAGCACAGGCGCAGATATTACTATTGTACATAACGTGAACTTTAAATATCTTATGAGGAAAGACTCGTATCTGGAACTTTAATGTGTTTTGGGTATGAATTTCAGTTTATATGTTCACATAATAAACAAGAGCCAAGTTTTCGTTTTTGCCCACAAATATGAGTAATTGAATGTGGAAAACATTCGGTATATTATATATGGTATTAGATTGTTAGATGTTTAAACCTAATAATAAGCCTAAAATAATTTATATTTACCCTGTGACTATTAAGTAATGTTTGTATTGTAAAATTCATGTGGACCACTCTTGTAGGTAAATATTGTAATTAGTTTAAAAATATTGACTTTTAAAATTGACATGTACTTAGAAAATAATGAATACGTAGCTAGTAATCACTATTCTGTATTTAATAGCACACAACTTTAAATAACTTCAGTAATAGCTAAATAATATGTTGATCGCAAATGTAGAGTATTAGTCATCTAATCACATCAACTAATTCGTATAAATTTAATATGGCAGCTTCTTAATTCAATCTTTAATAAATATACTATAGTAGTATCTTAGTATTTGTATTATTAATAATACCTTACAAAATTACCTCTATTTTTGTTTCATAAATATAGTTACCACGTGGAGTCACCTGTTTCGCCGTGGCGTGGACGGCCTCTCTTGATATCATCAATATTCGCTATACATAATATTTCAAGTGTACATTAAAATTTATCACTCGTGAATAACTATATCCTTAGAATATATAATACCGAACCCGAAAAATATAATTAATATATTTTGTAATATCCATGCCATAATGGGGTGTGTATTATTGCGAAATAAATATAAAAAATGTAGAAGAAATATCTAGTGTACGAGTATATTGAATATTTATCGCGCAGAAATACATTTATAAATAGATTATTTTATAATACTTATATATATATATATATATATATATATATATATATATATATATATATATATATATTTGAATTATCGAGTCCAAGAAGAATAATTCTTTTATAATATTGAAGTTATAAGGCTGTGTGTTAAAATATATAATGTGGAATTATAAGAGAAGTCGTATGGTTAAATACTAATTCTCAAATTTATATTTACTATGTTATCGATCTAATTTGGTTTACATCAGTTTTGTTTTTTTTTTTATTATCATTAATGCAGAAACTATTTATTATAATTATTATTTACCTACTTTTTTTCGTAGAAAATTTGTTAAATTATTCAATTCTGTAATAATTTGTTACCTCAGCCCCTTACCTACTTTTTCAAATGTAACATTATAAACAACAAAAATAAGTAGTAATTCATCTAAATAGCTAAGTTTCATTTTGAATAGGTGTATTAGAATTATTTTGATATTATTTTTGTATACTTACTTACCTAATTTTTAACCACTTACATTTGAAGCACCCAAAAAAGTTAGTCTTGAAATGGTTTAGAATATTGTTGCTTATTTTTTTATTTAATCTTTAATAAATTGTAAAACTATGCACAAATATATGTTTTTTACCATTTCAAGATTTTCTTTTGATAAAGCTGATAAATATATTTATGAAGCACTTGTTACCAGATCAATAATAAAAATGTAGTAATTATCTTGTTTTTGTTTTTTTTTTTTTGCTAGAACCTAACTAATAGCGTAAATAGGAAAATGTGATTGTTGATTGAAGTAGTGGAGAAGTTTCCATAATTTTTCTTTTCGTTAATTATGAAAATTTAAGTAGAGATAAACAAATATCTGAAGTACCCATAAAATATCTCTATAAATGAAAAAAATTATAGAATTTCAAAGTTCCTCTTTGAAAAATAATTTCGTTCGGCAACTCAGCTTATGACGTCACTTCAACTGTTTCATGCGGCTTGCATTCTTTTAATACTTGTTAACTTATTAGTATCCAGTTACTTCACGTGCACGTGCTTTTTCATATTAATCTATATTTTAATTGTTTTAAGCTAAATATGTCACTTTTAACATCAAATTTTTCCATTGTCATGAAAAAATTTCAATTAGAATTTGGAATGGAAAAGGACTTTTTACTCCGATCATTCAACATAATCTTGATTAAGCTAAAGAAATCGCGCTTAAAACATAATATAGATAATTATATTGTATAGGTTATATAATAAAATCAATTTGTTTTCAGAGGCGAAGACGATCAAATACTTTTACTACGAGTGATTAGCAAAGCTCACAAGTCATATGATGATACGGACTTATGTAAAATTTATTTATTGTATAAAATTATACAACTTATACGATTGTGTGTCTTTAAAGTATATTTTATAATAACAATAACCTTATACTCTTAGGGGGGAAGGGATTGTTAGTATTGTGGACTACCAGTCCATTGCTAGCAATATACCTTGTCAGGTCGACTTCCACGTGGAAACAATCGTGTCGAATTTCAGGTGTATTCATCACGATAGGTTAACTGATCTGCATTTTCATTTGCACCTGTCATCCCTCACTGGTACCTCGTCAGTGTATACCGTTAGTGCAGGCGGGGTTACCATTTCATTATCATCCTCAACATATATTGCTCAACATTATCTATTTTCACATCGAGTAGGTATGTACCTAAACTACTGTCAGAGGGAGACAATGTACAAAAGTCCTTTGTTTGGGTACCTTTGTCCCATTCGTGTTTCTACCGTGAAGCAGTAAGTAAGTAAGCATGGCTGTTTCGGTTTGTAGGGTGGGATATGGCAGTAAATTTACAGGGTACAGAGGAACAACACCTGAGTCCTCAGGAATGGCAACGCATTGGGGTATTATGAGCGAAACAGTATAATAATAAACTCTTTATTGCGCACAATAGAGATGTATACAAGGAGTATTTATGCAGAATGTGTATATATAAAAGGCGGAACACTTATCGCTAAAAGCGTTTCCATTTATGAGCGCGAGTCCCGCTGTGCCCTACCTCTTTTAATAAATGTGTATATATAAAAGGCGGCCTTGTCGCTAAAAGCAATCTTTTACAGACAACCAGTATACTCTGATATGTTCATGGTATGCTCATGTCTATAGGCAACGGTTACCACTTTCCATCAGGTAGGCCGTAAACTTGTTTGCCATATTAAGTTGCATAAAAAAATACCTAAACTAGCTGTGTTCCACGGTTTCGCTTGTGGTCGTATCGTGGTGTTAAACAGCCTATTACTTTCCTCAAGAAATGAGCTATCTAATGTAAAAAGAATTTTTCAAATCCGACTGGAAGTTCCATAGATTAGTGCATTCAAACAAACAATTCTTAAATTATTCATTTATTTAATAGAGATTAGTATCATTCATATTTATGACTGGTTTTTCATGCTGAAAATTTTTTTTTATTTTTTTTAATAATTTTTTATATTTATATGATATTACAGTAAATAATAACCCAGTAAATATACTTTGATATAAATCATTTATTTAAAAATAAACGTAAATGTTACTTAGAGCCTACATAATACTTTACAAAAATCCTCGACCGTTTTTGCTGAGTTTTGATGCATAGAATACACAAATCAATGGCACCAAAGGTAACTCTTTCATTAATAACATCGTAACATGGAAACCTATGTAATAAATTCAAAATAATTATATTTATACAAAACTTAAAATTTATTTTTATACAAATATGTTATAATCAGAATCTTATAATTACTAAAGTCTTATAAGATGGAGTATTCGGTCGATAATAATATCTTAATCATAATTAAGTCACGTATAATAAAAAAAGTCTATAATTGTTATATTCATCTATGAAAAATAGTTGGAATTTATTTCTAACAAAAATAATATAGGACATATTATAAGAATGTTTATTCGCAATTAAATATATTTAGTTTATATTTAGGCCTTAGTAACCTATTACCTATCTAATATAGATTTCCAAAATGTTTTGCTATATACGAGAAATTTAATAAAAGTTGTAAATTACATAATTATATTAATAACTTTATACCCTACAATCGTACATGTATAAATTTAACAAATATCTATTATTCAACATTTCATATAAATATAAATGCTAATTATTCGAAATATTGTATAAATATAATTAACTATCTAATGGCAATATTTTTTTTTGATATGGCAGCATCAATTCCAGTAGTGCCTAGGACAGGTTTACATTGTACTAAATTGAATTTATATTAGATATATATCATTTAGGAAAATCGATAGTAAAAGTAGATATGGAAATAGTATATTGTACGGAGATAATACACTATAAGTGGTCATATTTAGGTATGATATGTTTTGATTATAAATTTAAAGTTTCGATTTAAAATTAATTAGAACAGATTTATCAACGAAATATTCTTCTATTATCGATGGAAGCTTAATTATATTTGCTACCACATAAATTTAATATATTTTTTTATTTATATATTAGCATTATGAGTCATCGTTCATTATAATTAATTACTACCTAAGTATATCACTTATTAACAGTCAAATTGGCACTATTTGTCCATGAATGTACTGCTTCATTTAAGACTGCATAAATGCATGCTTTGTATAGTCACAGTTTTACAATTTATACAGTTAGACAGTGACTCTAAGAGTAACGAAGTGGAACACTAGAAGAGATTAGGCACAGTGGACTGAATACCGCAGACACGCATTGTTTATACTATCATAAATAATGGACGATGTGAGTAGTCCGGTAGTGTAAATTAAGGATTAATGCTAATTTGATACAAAATATTTTTTTAATTTTCAGTCTATTGAAACATTGTCATATATTATAAATATTAGAAATAGAAATGTTACCATCAGAAATCTGGTTTGATAAAAATTAAAACACAGACTATATTTCATAATAAGATATTTTTATATCAAAACTAATATTCAGTACAAAATATAGTTAGGAAAAATATAGGTAAATGACCATTATTCTGTTATGTATATAATTAGTATGACAATTCGTAGTTATATAGATAGATACCAAGTCAATAAAGGAGATGGCGCCTATTTAGGGCAAATTATATTTTATATAAAATGCCGTAATTCAGTATTACAACGGTATTTCCCTGTGACTACCTCCATCTCTAAGATTAGATCTGTTTCACACTTCGTTTTTATAAAGGTAAAGCAAACCGCTGACGGTTTTTTAGAGTCATTTATAAAATAGTTATCGCAAAATGACTATTCTATATATAAGTTGATTTGCGCTGAAGAAAAGGATTATTTTTTATTTATCCATTTTAGTATGCAGTTTTATTAGTAAATAACGAGTGAAAGAGTGAATGAACGAGAATTTCTTGTGTTACCAGCATAGGTTACATTGATGTAATATTATTCAGAGTGGGCCAAACCCTTTAAAAAAGTGCTCAAACACGTTTTTATTCATAACTGAATGCTTCATTCTTGATCTTGGAGTAAATACAGGACAATTTTGAGATGGGCACGGCCCACCAGACAGATATATCCTTAAATACGCCTATGATAGCCTGCAACAGTTATTTATTTATATGTTGAGATGAAAGTTTCAGCTCTTAAACATACAACAAAGTGCACTGAGCATCTCAATTCTTATCTCTGTAAGCAATGTAATGCTATCTATATCTTTCTACCAATCAGTTGTAAATATATTTAATTTGTTCAAATAATTGTGGTACCCGCTATCAATATTGGTAAACCAGTAAATAATTATTTATCAAAATCCAGTCAATTTTATATCTTCTATCATCTTTTTCCATATGGATCACCTGTAAAAAATAAGTGTTGCTATATAATCTCTCCTTATATATATATATATATATATATATATATATATATATATATATATATATATATATATATATATATATATATATATATATATATATATATATATATATAATTCAATGAATGTTGTATGGCTTTATAGCCAGTTTTATCGTGTAAAATTATTGTTAAAAGAGTAAGAGGTTTATTAGAGTAACAAGTAAATAAATGAAAAGATTTCTGATATTAAATGGCCAGTGAACTTACATTGGTCACGTGTTCGGTTCTCTCGCGAAGCTCCTGCGTTTGCGTAGTGTACCAAGGATTTGCAGCATTTCCTTTACCGCTTCAGGCTGGTCCTCCCGCGGTTTGCGTTCCATAAAGTTTTGCTCTGTGGACTTTAAATGGAACTTGCCCCCTTTTATTTGGTCCACTATGGCGTCAATTGCGCCGCCTGTAAATGACATAATTGTTCAGAAATAAAACAAAAATTTAAATACTTGTTTTTAATATTTTACACAGTATAATTACACTTCTATTTTCTCAAATGCTGACTGAGAGAGAATGTTATATTACCTATAAGGTACCAGGTACAGGTGATAATGTATGTATCTCAGAAACTTAGAAAAACATATATATATGTTTAGTGTTTATATCCAATGATATTATCATATCAGCCTTTAATCGTCCACTGCTAAACATAAGCCTCCCATTTGGGGGTTTTGCCAGTAGTTGCCACGCTTGGAAATGTTTTAAAAGGGACGCTGCTGCCCATCCCTCGTCCGTATTTAGTCGATTCTTACGACACCCACGGGGAAGGAAGGGGTAGCCTATTTTATACCAGGACTACACGCCAATGATATTATCATAAATGAATTAATATAGTATATTTATATTCACTGGATATTATAATATTTTTTCTTTTTTCTATTAATATTTTATCTTTCGATAGCAAAGGTTTAGAAATAATTTAATTCAAAGTCTTTAAGCGCCAGTTAAAATCAGATGATAATAGGTAGATTTAATTAATTTCAGTCAATACAGATAATAAAATCTAGTCCAATTATAACCACAATTTATTAATTACAATGAATTAAGATTTAAATATACGAGTAGAACACGTGAGTACGGTTTACTAAGTCTGAATAGAACTAATTTTCCGTACAAGTAACTCTACGAATATCTACGTTTTCTGTTATTGTGACGTTTAACAATAAAAAATATTTTTATTGTTACACGAAATGAATACATTTTAAAGAAACATGATTCATGGACTAACTACGCAACTTCTATTGTTCATTTAGTGTCCTTGTTAAATAAATAAAGAAATCAACACTATGGTAGGTATGCAAAATTTTCTTTGTACACTAATGCAATGAATACGGTACTGTCCTAAATCTATGTCTTTTCTAGTTAGGAGTCGATTGATTGAGGTCATTGATATTTTTATAATTATCTTATAGATAGTTGTTTGGATCGTTTTGTATCGACACTAACCTCCGTTCTGCTTGCTTTTCTTCAACGTGCCCTGCTTTCCAGCGAGCATCTTCGCCATGTCGTCCGCTCCAGATGACACGAATGCTGGCGGTGGTGGTGGTGGTGGTGGCGGCGGTGGGGGAGGAGGTGGGGGACATGCTGGTGGTGGCGGCGGGGGAGGAGGTGATATTGCTGCTGGTGGGTTGGGTGGCGTGGGTGACGGACATCGCGACGAAGTGTCTTCTGGAGGATTTAAAGGTTGTGGAGGGGACGGCGAAGGTGGTCGGGGCGGGGTTTGGGGACGCTCAGGAACTGTTGGAGCTGGAATAAATATTTTTTTACATATATGTTTTGTATTTTTATTGCCTTCTGTAATGCAATTTATTTGACACAAAAATTAGGTAATAAAGACCCACCTGATGGAAAGTGGTAACCGTCGCCTACAGACTTGACCAGTATAATGGACATAACATAGTGTACTGTTTTGCCTATGATGCCCTTCATGTGTTGCCATTACTAAGAACTCGTGTTATTCTTCTGTACCCTGCAAATTCACTGCCATATCCCACCCTTTAAACCGAAACACATCCATGCAAACACAATATAAATCAGAGATATAAGCTCTAGCGATAACAACATCAATAATTAACATATTAGGTACATTTTGATGTTTCACTAGGTATTAACGAGTATAGGGACGGTTAGCATGGTCTGTACCAATATTTCGTGTTAAAATCTCACATAGATAGAGGTTTATTTTCAAGCAGGTCAGCCATCTTGTGGTAAAAATAGAAACACAAACAAAGGCCTTAGCCTTAGCAGAGTAACCTTTAGATCTAATTTAAAAGTCTAGAAGTCAATTACTTGTGTGATTTTCTCGGTATCATGCAGATGTCATAATATAACGTGATATATGAATAAACAGATTTTATATAACAATTTTGACATCTTACCAACAGGCGCCAAGATTTCTTCTTTGATCACCTCTTTCATTTTCATCTCTGGTGTCTCGCTCCCTCCATTTTCGAAGTAACTAATTCTAGACATGAGATTCCCTCTCCTCGGTCGGTCTGAGAACTTCTTCTCCAATTCTGCTAGCTTCTTCTCTGCACTCTCGGCTCGTTCTACTGCTTTCTGAGCATCTTCCTCTGCTAGTCTTATTTTCTCCTCCCATAATAATATGTCAGTATCTTCGTGTTTTTCAGCTAATTTCAACTGTAGGAGAAATATATAAATTTTATGTACGTTATAATAGGAATCTATAAACGAAGGGTAACTGGCGAAATGTGTAGCAATTTTTTCAATTTAATAATAATTTAGGTAAATACTTTTGTGTCTTTGCCACCAAGCTGTTAGTTAATTATTGGATACAAAGGCATTATACCTTAGCTTAGCTCCCATAAATGATAAAGAGTTAGATAATACATATACATAAGTACCATTAGTAGTCATTGATGATTAAATGTTCTATGATATGTTAGCTTATTTGCATACCCTGACTTATAAAAAGTTAATTATATTAAAATGTCAGCAACTGAGTAGCTATAAAAGGCATGTATCAGATTCTACCTGCAATTCCTCAAGTTGGTCTCTGTGGCGAGCAGCCTGGCTCTCGAGCGCCCCTTTGAGGCAGTCGACCTCCCCAAGCAGCATTGAAAGTCGCTCGTCTAGCCCTAGTTCACCCACCAGCAGCGCGCTCTGATGTGTCAGCACGCGGACACGCTTCTTTGCGTCCCGGGCTTCCGATTTGTATCTGGAAGACATTCAATCCAAAATATTACTTGAAATTGTTGCCATAAGAGTGTTTCTACAATGTCAATTTTTACGATTATTTTGCACGATAGACCTGACCTCTTAAAATAGTCGTATATATACTTTCAAATCTGTCTTTATGAAGTTTCGCTTGGATCTTGAGGAGCGTACCAGACAATTCTGGGGTGGGCACTGCTCACCCGGCTCCCTCCTTATCATAATGCCTGTTACGATTAGTCCGCGAGACATAAGATAAGCTTTGCATTTGTGTCAAAAATATATATGAAAGTATGGGTAATATAATGTGACTATAGGCCTATATGCAATATATTTCAGTCAAGGTTAAAATCAATTTTGCAAGTTGAAAATTACTCACACAAATGTAAACTCTGTTTATGTATCACGGGTCGTAGGTATCAATATTGGAAGCCTTTTGACCTTCTCTTCATATTATCTGCTCTGGTATCAGATTCATAATGATATCATAGTGTAAATGAATCCGCCCTTTCCTCACCTACCTCGCATACCTGTACCGATGAACAATTCTAGAAATGAGTTGTTTAGACTGTGTATATCGGTGGCCTCGTCAGGCCCCCGCTGGCTGTCATGTAACAAACGTTGTATTATTGCTATATAGACATATGTCTAGGTATATTTTCTTATCTGTTCGCTTGAATGAGCCGGCAGCAACAAAACGTCCAAATCGGAATGATATCATATCTATTATATAGGCTATCATTATTTGAACTGATACCATGTTGAATAATAAGGAAATGATCTAATGATTTATCAGGTGAAGGTGGCCTTTTAAAGTATCCAGAACGTTGCTTATGTGTCTATCATGTATAAAAAGATATAGGCTACTAATACACTCGTACTCACGTCTCGGCCATCTCCCTATCCTTGTCGGCGTTTTCCTTGAGCGCAGTGACCTCTTCCATGAGAAGCTTGGAGACGCGGTTGTGGCTCTCCAGTTGGCCACGCATATCCTGCAATTCCTTTTCTTGTGATGCGCATTTTTCTCGTTCAGTCTCTAGTTCCTAGAAAGGGACAAATGCAATGTAAGGGTATTTTTCTAATGGTAAATTTGGGTTTTCTAAAAAAGATGAAATAGTATACTCTTGAGATATACACACCTGTGCTATAGTGTACAATGCCCTAATGGAGGATGGAATTTATTAATGGAGGATAAAACGAGCAGATTATTTAGTCATCGTGACGAGAAATAACCATAATGGTTCCCAGAGAGATTGCTTTGTAAATCAGTACATCGTGACAGGGTGTATTGCTAACAATTTCTTCACCCTTTTAAAGAGTTAGTCAAAGTCATACAAAGAAGTTACGTACACGTTAATTAGCGACTGAATAAAATTACTTAGCGTTAAGTTAGCAAGGTAAACGTCCTAATCACCTGCGCTAATGTCACATTCAGTTCTTGAGCTTCAAACTCCTGCAACTTTACGGTGTTAAGTTCCGTCTGTAGCTCGGCTATCTGACGACTCAGCTCTGTTACGGTTTGTTTCAGGAATTCCACCTCTTCATTACTGCTTGTATCGGATGCTGCAATTGCCAAAAAATATAACAATAAATTTATACTCTAAGTTTTAAATAAGACAAAGGGTGTATATTATGTAAGTATCTCACAATAATTACATACCTGGTCCACAAACTCAAATATTCTATAACTGTATCATTTATATAATTTTAATATTTATATCCCATTGCTTTGCTTGTTTAAATTTGTGTATAAAGTATTTATTTATTTTATTTATTTATTTAACACTTTATTGCACCAACATAACATGATTTGTTAAAACAATTTTCACGTATAGTGTAGTACAAAAGGCGGTCTTATTGACAACCTTTGTATCATTTAAAAAAGATAGATTTGTAAAAAATAATATTTTGACAGCATAGTCATATACATATAATATATATATACATATATATACATACACATACACATATAAATATATATACATACATATACATATATGCATAAATACATACAAATATACCATATTAATACACATATATATAACCACATAAAACTGGAAATACGTAGGACTAAGTGATTATAAGGATAGGTAGTGGGCTTTAACTAAGTTTTTAAAAATGGGCAACGATTTGTATACAAACGAACTGCTTGCACGGAAAAGGATTTGGAGTAGAAAGAGGAAGAATGGGTAGCAATTATGATGGATGTCAGTACTACGTAAAGAATAAGAATTAGAATTGCTCTTAGTATCTTATGTTTTAAGTTAGAATATAACCTACATATGTACTAAATCCGATGAACCGTTTAAAATGTCATTGAGTAAATAAATATACAAATATCTAAATATCCAAACGTCATGACAACTTTGTATTTTTTGTAATTTACATTACATATAAGATATTCTACGCAAATTCAGTATTTAAATTTAATTTCTAATATTGGTTAGACTGAAAATCGAATCGAGGGCCTCATTTATAAGAACATACAAACCAGTGCATTGAGAGGCCATTGTCTATTAAATAGGAATCAATATACCTGATTTTTATTAATCAGAAAACAATAGCGAGTCTGACGAATAAAGAAACAGATTTACATACGTTACGACTATAATATATGAATATTTATTAACACTTCAAATCGAAATATAACTTAGTTCAAACTTGGAATATGTTTTCAATTCAAATTCCATAAAAAAAAGTGATATATGTAGTGAATCGTTGTGTCAGACATATTTATTTTCGACCAAGATTACATTTGCGATATTAGTTTCACAAATAACTTTAGGCAACTACTAGCTATAAAATTCTCGCAATTTATATAATATATAAATTTATTAATGTAAAATCAAGATATAAATCTAAAAAATAAAGCTCGTAGCGGAAGTGTTTAGAATTTTGTATTGATTATTGAGTTTTAAGTGAAAGGATTAAAAGAAGTATGAGGATATAATTGAGATTTTACGTAACATTGGATGGTAATAATATTTTAATACCGGCAATATTGAGAACCTTGAATTCATTAAATTTAGAAAAAAAGAATCTAAATAGTTTTCTACTAAAGTTTAGGTCTTACTATAAGAATAAATATTAAATCCTCCAGTAATTTTCTATTAAGAATTCTGTAGCGTACTATTAAATATTTTAATTTGTGAGAGAACGCGAAAGTAATAATACATAATTATGTAAAAAATTGTTGTAGTTAATAAAGTTATAAAAACCAGCATAAATATAAAAAGTTTTGCATCATTGCTAAGACTGAAGTAATTATCTAATGTCTGATATAGTAGCTTTAAAATAAAGCGTAACACAGTCTGTTACAGCGATGTGCGATCATTATGTGAAGCGCAAAAAGTACTGACTTTAACATAACGTAAGGTGGACATTTTCTTTAACTTGTTTTCAATAAAAATGTCCGTTTTTCTATAACCAATTTAATGTTCATATAAATTATCAGCATTTCGACAAATGGCAGTATCTACTAAGGGCCGAGGCGGCGGTAGACAGGTAATCAGCTTAAAGCGTCAACAGCTATTGATGCATTGACAACTGACGACAAAACTGGCTTTTAGATTAAGGCTGTTGACTTAATTTATTCATAGATATAGTTGGTTTCGATTATACCTGTGTCGGTGGAGTCCGTTAAGTCTATTTCAACGGTTTTCGTCGGCAACGCTTGCAGGAGCGCCGTACTCCGCCTCTTCAGTTGTTTGTTCTGTTTGTACCATTCACCAGCCTGTTGCATAACCCTGCAATAATAGATATTTGCATGTTAATTTGAGAAATATGGAAAAGAGTAACGAAGATTTAAATGTAAATATATAGTTAGTATGAACTCATTTCTTGTTTATGCGTGCAGTGTAATAAGAAAATAGTTTGTTAATTAATAGGCTTAACTGTCAATTTAGTACTGCATAGTTAACAGTAGGAAAAATTAAAATATCTATGAAATGAACTAACAGGGATATTGCCTTTGTGTTCTTTTGACACTTTCCCTTTAAACTTAACCTTCCTGATTAATTATCTCTTTGAACCATAGATTGTTTCTTTACTCTTCTAATACAGTTAATTATTTGATATTGCAATATTTTGTTGTATTTCTTCATGTATGTATTTATTATTGTTAGATATTACTTTATGTTTCCTCAATTCATGAATGCATCGTCTACCTATTTCTCTGTTTGCCCAATGGTTGTCTAACATTACATTTAATATAAGCAAAGAAATTATATTAATTTATTTGGAATATAATTAAAGTGATTCATAACTTAAAATTCACCTAACGAAATCGCGAACGAAAAATGAATTAGTTAACAGATATCAAATTACAAGACAACACAAATTTAATATATTGCACAGAAATGTGTCACAATTTCTTATAAATAACAACATTGATATTCAGTCAGCAGCGCAATAAGTTTATTGGAGGATTGCTTCAACTTTAACGTTACATAATGCAAGTTATACACCTATTCTGTATTATTGGAATGTTTCTTCAAATAAATAGAGAACAAAACTATTATTATAAATATTGCATATTTGCACTACAAAAATATTCTTGATATTTTCGTATGTCTATAAAATTTTTTTCACACGGTTTTTCTTTCAAACACATACTATATACAATTACATATATTATGGTATGTCATCCAGAATATGGATAATAAATATATAAACTATATGTTTCATGCTATACAAAATGTACGCCATGTGGTCCTGGTACAGATAGGTCATCCATCCCTTTCTCATGGATGTTATTAGAGGCGACTAAGGAAATTTAGCAGTCGAGGGATGAGCAGCAGTTTCCTTATTAAAACATCACCAAAACTTAAGTGCGGTTGTCAACCCACCTGTCAAGCGTGGCAATTACTGGCAAAACTCCCTTTATGGGGATGGTTTAGGGTTAGTAATGGATAGGTAATTGCTCATATAATAAAAAAACGGTAAAATACGGTTATGTACCACTTTCCATCAGGTGGGCTGTCAGTTAGTTTGCCGTTCTAAGTTCCATAAAAAAAATAAAAAAATATATTTCACAATTAAGCGGAAAAATTCCGCGGCGATAATTATCAGTTTGTTACGAATATTAAGACAAAAAGAATAAAAAATAAATTAGATTACATAAATATAAATAAGAATTGCGCAGTTTAATATAATCATGAGTATAATCCCAGATGGGGCGATCGCAGGCATTACTTTATTTATGACGCCGTTGTGGGGAACATTATTATAATCGATGAATACATGTATGTGTTATATTTCAATGTGGAAGTTAGAAGGCAAATTGCCTTTTTAAAATTAATTTTACTTGATAAACGATTTTTTTATCATCGTAAAGTTGAGTTAAAATTAGATATAGAATTGACGTAGTATTTCGTATTGATCTGATTTCATACAGTCAAATACAACATTTGAGGTCTTATAATTCGATATCAAAGCCACTCAGGCTATAAATTACATCGTTTTTAGATAAAAGTATATTAAAAAACTTATGACAAATTTTTTATTAAAATTCGATGCCATAAAAAAATAATTAAAAAAACTTACATCTTGAAATTTGTTTAATTCCAATCATCAACAGTATTAAAAATATTTGAAGAAGTGCGAAAACAGTTCCATTTTAATCCTTCATTATTATTCACTTATTTTCTATATAATATTATTATTAAAAAAAATTCAAATACAACGTGCACTAGAATCTCACAAAACTAATCCACAACATTGATGAATTTTTAGTAACATTGTACGTAGGTATATAAAAATCAGTATCACCGTTAACAACAAAAAATATTTATGACACAGTATAAAAGATATTTATTGTCCATTACTTAATAGACATATAGAAAATCATTTATTATAAGGTATGGCAACGGTCGTATTGTCACAGCGGATGGTCTAAACTGAACACCGAATGCATAATATTAGCTAATCCAATAGTGAAATTGGTACATTACAATATTTTTGCATATTTAACTTGGCCGATCACTTTGACTTTCAATATTTTATGTGAGCATGTGAGCATTCAAATTAAATATTTATGTAACAATTGAAGCATCTTCAAAATAAAAAAATATGTTGGCAGCCTAGTTTAACTGATTTAAAACCATTTATGTACATATGTAGTTTTACTGTGCATTAAAGTTTAAATAAATAAAAAAAAATTTTGCAATTTTATTAATATAACATTCGTAAAATTAGAACTAGATGATGTCTATACGCATGTCTGTCATAAGAGCAATAAAAGCTAAAGAAATAATTTTCGGAATTATTGTCTGACTATATGTCTGTTCTCGTCAAAACTACTACACCAATCACGAAGGCAATTTACACAGTTGTTCCTGAAGGTCTATATTATAAACTGATGTATATTTTATCTTAACATGTCACCTACCAGTGATTACCTACTTCTAAAATAATTTTATTAAGTAGCTTGGTACATATACACACAAGGAAATACATATATCTAAAATAATTTGTTTTCAGTTTTGGTTTTCAGATTGTATAATAAATATGTTACATTTTTTTTCTTAGCAGAACAATAAATTATTTTAACTCTTTAGTAATAGAGCAATAGATATACATTTACAAAGTTTAATTAAAATGGTTGAGTTGTTTAGCAGATTAACATGAACAAACGTCGTGACACAGAATTTTTAATATTAAGATTTGAATAAAATAATCTTTATTCAAATAAACTTGTTTACAAGTTCTTTTATCTCTAAATTCTTCCTCATTTCTTTTTAATGTTTCCTCGGCGGTAATTTTTGCAAAAATGTAATTTCTCTTAAGTGAGTTAAATCTAAAATTAGTACCCATAAAATTATAACGCAAAATAATTATGTGTTATAACCGCAGACTGTATGAGTAAATCATTTATAACACAAACAATGTATTTGTATACATTTTACCTATCCTGCATCGGTGACACACAATAATGTAGTTATTGTCTACACTAATATGTTATTATGTATTAAGTTATTATATATATAATAATCTTTTAAAGTATATATATATATATATATATATATATATATATATATATATATATATATATATATATATAAAATATATATGTGGTTTATATATTCTCTGAATATATATATTCGTAATTAACCTCTAATTTTAGAGATATGTATATATATACAGTCAAAATGTATGTAATGAATATTACTTAACATTTATTTCACAGTAATAAAATGGCTAGAAAATTATCATTTATGGTTCGAATGATTTTGAGGTCTTTTCTAGAAGTCATCGTTAATTGTAGTAATACTAATGATTATATAATCTAATCTTTATAGAGCACTCATGTTATATTGATGAATATGGTACATGTAATCATTAAATATTACGTATTTACTGAGATATGTTTAAAAAGAAAACAGGAAATACTTTTCCTGTTAATCTTCTATCTTTAAATTAGGCGCACCGCCTGATTTTGTTCGCATAAGAAATGATTGTCACGTACACTATGTCTTTATTTCATATTGTTATTATACCCCATTTGTCTACCAATAAAACACAATAGTTCCTTACGGTTCTGAATGTCAATCTATCCAGTCAATTAAGATTTAAATCATCGGGCCAACACGATGACCTCTCACGTGATATACCTAATTATGCAGCAAATACTTTGAAACCTATTTTCGAAACGTATTTCAAACTGTGACATTTCACCACTTTTAAATGATTACAATGAATCTAAAACAAGAGATTTTGATGTAATGTTGAAATATATAATTAGGAAGCCTTACCATTGTCAGTTTTTTTATAATCTAAGCCTATGCTTATATATAAAATATGCTTTTCTATAAAAGATTTCAACTATAACTTATAAAATGCTGTATTGTGGAACATTATAAAATTGTCCATCCCATTTGGGAATCTGTATACCTACTAAGTTGTCTTTGATAGGAAATCATCAGTTTTTGTACAAAAGTCGTTCGCATGGGGTACCTCTGTTTTATTAGTTTTTACCGTGAATCAGCTGCACTTGTATGACTGTTTCGGTTTGAAGTAGAGGCCTAACAGCATAGTCTCCATAAGAGGTCCCATAACACAGAAGATTGGAACTTCTCTAAATAACTACAGTAAATAATAATAGGAAATGCATATTTTTTTTCTCCAAACCCATAACCAGCCAGAGAAAGTCATAATTCTATCCATATCTAAAGGTGAAGCTTATCACTTTCTATTAGGTAGGTTGTCTTACTTATTTGCCATTCGAAGTATTATTAAAAGAAAATTTTATGTCAAAAAGAGATAATTTTTTTATGCAACTTAAAATGGTAGAAACACGAATGGGACAGAGAATTCATGATAAACTAAATAGTGATTTAGGAAACTGTGAATACTAAGGAAATTAATATTTTCTATATTCAATCCTATAACAGGCCAGAGAATGCCGTTACTTGTTAATCAGTGTGACAACGCAATGCAAAATGCATTCAAATTTTGTTATTTTATTTATTAAGCAGCAAAGTGGAACGATTGTGTAAGCAAATGCAATCATTGCATAATAAATATATTTAGTAGTGTTTACAAAATATATATATTTGTTAAAAAATAAGTTGACTATCTTGACTTACATATTTACAATCTTGATTTAATTAATATATTTTGTAAATAGTGGAAAAGACATATTTTATGATGAATTTAAACTTTTACTTTTTGTTATCATAGAAACAGCAAAAAGTAGATATGTTTTTGCGGATTAATTGGCGAAATTTTCCACACGCGCTTTTAATCGCCTACCTACTACATTACATCGTATTAATATGACAGAATTGTAATTAAACAACGTCTGTACATAAAAAATAATTAATAAAAAATTATATGATGCGTCTCCATAATAACAATAGAATGCAAAACCATATTTTTTTATAATTATTGTCTATTGGTATCTCTATTTGTATGTTTGTTCGGGTATCACAAAAATTTTAATACTGAATATAGTTTTAAAAGTTATATTTTTGATATAAATATTTATAACAATATACCGTCTGGATGTAGTTATCTACATCCAAAATACGCACGTACGAAGTTTCGGGTGAAAACGAATTTAAATGATATAAACTATGTAACGTTACATATGCAAATACAATACTCTATACTAGTATAGTATTATATTATCTGTGACTTTATATACGAATTACATCACATGGAACATATTTTTGGTAGTTTAAAGAATTATAACAAAAATGAACTATGAACAAAAAAGAAAGCTATTTTTAACCTGCAACTAGAGCCAAGTTGATTTTAAAAAATATTTTTCATAAACTGATGAAACCAGGAATAGAACTCGAGATCTGATTAGCTCAAACTAACGAGATTATGACTGTGCTATACAGGCTATCAAATTGATTTAGTTTCTCGTTTAAAACCAGCCGAAAAACTTCTGCTGGTTCCGATTCTTGAGCCCAGAAAAAGTGTCATCAATTAATTATCATAACGATACTATATATTTAGTAATGGAATATTAGATAATATAACTTACTTGTGCATAACACCCGCATCGACTTCATGCTGGTTCTTCAACTGTTGGTACTCTCGAAATAGTTTTTCTGATACTGTTCTCAGTTTGTTCAACTCCCGTTCCCTCTCCCGAAGCTCGCCTTCCAGATGATTCCTCTCCTCAACAACGATATTGTACCGCCGTTGTAAGTCATCGTGCTCACGTTTAGCTGAGAAAAAAACATAACACATTATTTTTGACTATCTGTAACCCATGGGTTCGAACGCATGGATCAATGTATATTGTAGCCTATATTTTAAGTTAAGATATAAACTACTCGCGTACCAACTTTACGCCCCACACCCCGCCCTTTAAATAATGCTTAATATTACTCACTGTACATCGAAAGCGTAGGTGGGGTTATCATTCTTTTTCCATTCTATTAAAAAAAACTTCTTGTATTTGATGACAAAGTAAGAGCATAAAGTGTTTAAAGAATACAAACTCTGTTCTCCTCAGGAATTTGTAAAAGGCGATTAAAGAAAAAAATACTTAAAAATGTGTACTTCATAAACAATTTTGGCTTCATTAAAACATTTTATTTCTTATACTCAAGCATTACATTTTCCCGATGTGTTGACGAGGCCTTGAGGTGATATTAGGCTTACGTGGCAATTAGTCATTTCTGATAATGTCTAGTCCTGTAAATGTATGTACTGTTTTTGTAGGGAAGTATGTATTTGAATGAAGGTATTTAAATAAAACTGTGTTCCTGTGGAAAAAGATATGAATGTACACGTCATTTCCCTCAGAGATAAACAAAGGAATATATAATGAAATAAATAAATATATTTTTTATCATTTTTATATTCACTTATGAAGTTGTAGCTCATTTATCAAAAACAATGAATGACCTTAGAATGATGTGGTAAATGTGCATATCAAATTCGGTCCTTTCATCCTTGTATTTTAATAATATTTCTATAATTCTTGTCTTTATATTCTCGTTCGTTCGTAACATGACTCCCTTGTTCAATAGATTAGATTTTCAAGACGTCAATCAAGAAGACGGTTGGAATCTACCAATACCATCAACCATTACCAAATGTAAATTCGGAAGTTTTGAAATTTTAATAGATTTCATAGATGGATAAAAATAAAAATGGTAGTTCTTTCGTTTTCCACGAAAACATTTCAATATAATGTTAGAATTACTAAATATAAGTTTTTTTTTTCAAAGAACGTTTGTACTTTTATTTATTTATTTAGTTTTAAGATTCTTATTTCTAAATCTTTAGATAGACTTGCAAATTTTAAGAGGTAAGTATGCTGTTTTCTATATTGGGCTAATAATAAAAATGCTGCACCTAGTTTTGAAATGTCCGACATGAATAGTTCGTTTATTCAGGCATTTCCGCACTTAGCTTCGTAATTGGGCCATTGAGTGGGGATTGTTTGAAAAGTTACATGCAAAACAATTCTACTACCGTATCGCTTGCCATCGATAGCGAACTGAACATCTTGGTAGTAAAATGCCTGCGTAAAATTTTAATTTGCTGGGTTTCCTTCTTGCGTATTCTCAGACTGTAAGATTTCTCCAATTAAATCGCAAAAATACTCCATCAGATTTTTTTTATTGTGTGTTATTGTTTTATCAAATTGTTTTTCGTCATATATTTTTTTTTCTATTAAGAATGACAAATAAACCCTCAGCTTGTTTTTTTTTTATAGTAAGCAATTGTCATCAATAATCGTAAATGATATTATAAACATCTAGTATATGTGTATTGTATCGTTTATGAGACACCATACTTATCCTATTATTTTATAAATGTAAGAGTATGTAAAGATAATTAGATATTCACTGAAATGACCGAAAGTATTGAAATGGGAAGAACAGGATTGTTAGCAATGGAGTTTGACTGCTCCATTGCTAGCAATATGCCCTATTAGGTCGACCTCCACGTGGTTCCCCCTGGAAACCATCGTCAACAGTTCTTGTTGAATATGTCACGATGGGCTAACTGACCTGCTTCTTCCTCACCTATCATCCTTCACTGGTGCCTCGCCGGTGTATACCGTTAGCGCGGATGGGGTTACCATTCCATTATTACCAATAAAAAAAAGTATTGAAACGAAACTTAGTACACACGCTGACCATTAACTATATCATAGATTAGCTGCACAGCTATGGACGGCTTTTTGAAAATATAGTACCGCTTATGTTGCTCGCTGATAATGTAGCTTTCCATAGGTGAAAGATTTTCTAAAATCAGTTCAGTAGTTTTTGAGTTTAACCATTATATACAAATCTTTCCTCTTTATAATATTATAGGATAGATGTCGTTTATATAGAGTATAACACATAAAATAATTTTTAAGTTTAATTTTCGGTGATAAAACCACGGTATGTAGAATATGTAAATTTTAATAACTATTAGTCTACTACTTTGAGATACTAATTAACTCAAATAATTATATAAATTTACTAAACAGGTAAAATGTATATAAATAAGAAATATAAGGATAATATTACTGAAAATTAACTCAATATAATTGGTACCCGACTAAATTTCATTTGAATACTTATTATGTTTGTCCACAAGCTTTTATATAGCTTGCAGTTAACCTAAGAAATTTTATAACCATTTTTATCTTAAAAAATTGTCATATGTAAGGATATGATATCTGCCTACGCACCAAATTTTATTACATTTCATACAGTTTTACTTTTGTATTCCATGGACACGTCCTTTACAAGAACTGCATTAAATACTATCAGTGAATCCTTTACTTATCTGAAAGGACCAGTGACCAGCAGTGGAACATTAATGGGCTTTTTTATAGTATGGATGGTAAAGTAAATTTTATTGAAATTGGTTGAGCCATTTTGGAAATTTTCTTTAAAGGGTAAGAATGGTGTAGTAGTCCTTCCGCTATTGGTATAAGCTGACGGGACACCATTGAGAGAAGGTGAATGCAGTTAGCGCATCATGACGAATCCCACAAGTTTTTAGGAAAAACCGTGTGAAGGGCGACCTGATAGAGTATATTGTTAGAAATGGGGTTGTCGTTACAATTCCCCCTCACCCCGCTCTCTTTACGGAGATTAATATGCATGAACATAGTAATAAGCGATTTTGATACTTTATAGCATTGAAAAACAGTAATGAATTTACTATGATTGTTTTGTTCTTCATCATTTTACCAATTAATAAAATATACCAATTTACATAATAGTGAATAGGTAAACATATTTACAAAAATAGCATACTTGTATCTAAATAATTAGATAAAACTGTATTTTTTATCTCTACCTTAAGTATCAATCTAGAAACAACTAAAAAACTAAAAAATTTGCATGCATTTTTTAAGTACCCATATAATTATAAGCTATTAGCCGTGATGCATAAATAGGATTGAAAATATTATCTTGTGTGTATATAAGATACAGTCCATCTTTATGCTATTTTATATAACTGTTTTGATTATAAAATTAAATGATAATAAATAAATGGATGAAGGAAGCAAGCTGTAGTGGCAATGGGCTGGTTATATACCTTGAAGAACTGACAACCGAAAGAAAGAAAGATGGTGAACAAAGGTTTTTTAGAGACGACCTTGTACAGGCAAACACTGTGAAAGACGACCCCCCACTAGATGGAGTGACGACTTCAAATGTATTGCTGGGAGTCAGTGGATGCAGATGACTCAGGATTGTTCCTTATGGCAGTCTATAGGGGAGGCCTATGTTCAAAAGTGAACAGATGATAGCTAAGATGATGAAATAAACAAATTTAACATTATCTAGTTCCAAACTAAGCAAAATTTGTATTATGGATACTAGACAAGTAATATAAATTCGCCCTTTTTAAATATATACACTTTATTTACATATATACACACACACATACACATACACACACATATATTGTATGTGTGTATATATACTAAACTAATACAAACATATTCTCTATTACTCTCTTCATGAATACAAATGTTTGTATTATGTTGGAATCGAATCCGCGACCATGATAAGACGAGGTAGTGTATTAAATCGTTAAACTACCAAGGTCTTTAATTATTATAAGAAAAATATTTATATTTTTAACAATGAAACGAACATTTCCACGGTTATACATTTTTTACTATACATACATCTACATTAATTCTCATATTATGAAAATAATAGTGTTTTATTGCTTTATTGAATAAATTGTAAAGACTGATTTAGTACATTAAAAACGAACACAATAGGATGGGAAACCTAAGCCTTAGTTACTGTCAAATTACTTAAATCGTAAGACGTAATATAGTGTACTATGAATTGACTAAATCATAATAAACAGCAATGACATTGACATTAATACGGTGTCTTATTGCTAGGTTTTTAGCTTTCATTGCTCGGCCTCCATTTTTTTATATAATTCAAATCAAACCTTTAAACAAAAAGAAACTTCAATAAAAAAAATGTTCAAACATTTATCTACCTTCCATTTTTCTATTGCCACATCTCTATTCAGTTTTATATTATATTACAAATTATAAATAAATTAAAAATTATAATAAATAGGAATAACTAAAATTTGTTTCTCTCGCATCGGATGTGTATTTTGATTTTTCTAAAAACTTGTGCAATAATAACTACTAAAAATAATAAATCAATATAATGCACTAAATAAATAACGTCATTGAATTTTAACTGACACAATAAATGCCTTTCTCTAGAACCAAGCATTGCGCAGTTCAATAACTGGTTTTACGTCTTGACATCAATAATAAACTCAGGTTAAAAGTTAAGACTAATGTAATCTAAGATTCATGCGGTTGTAGGCAACTTTATTTTACATCAACATACAATTTATAAGTCTAAGAATTAATGGATAAGCAACAGGTTATCATCTGTCATAATCCGACAAATACGCGAATAGGATTTCCACTGGTGTTTTCGTTTGCATATGAGACCTCGAGGTGTCAGAGCATGCGCAAATGCAACCGCGAATATATACATGAAAAAAAAAGAACAAACTTCTATTATAACAGTAAATTTCTTACCTTTTTCTGATTTGAGAAGGTTTGTTTTGTGTTTCCTCTCAGCCTCTTCATATTTGTTTTTCCATTTCTCGACATAAATTGAAAGCGCAATGTTCGCCTCTTTGGTGTTTTGGTGCGCGTCAGGCGGCGTCATCCTGACGGTAGTGGCTCGCGGAATCCTCGTGGCCGCGCCGCTGCTAGGACAGAGCGAGACAGCGCTCCGCACGCCTTGACACTGATTGTTGTTCGACGCGATCGCAAATACATTATCACCGTTTCTTTTAATCATTTTTGCATTCAATTTTTATTATACGCGCGTGTCTAACGCTCGCATCGTCTCGTTTTCACGTATGCACTGTTCATAACACGTGTTTAAGATCAACAGGCTGGTGCGTCAGAAAGTGTTAACGTTTTTGGAAATATATTCCCTTTGTTCTTGCTGTTGAGGAAAATGTGTCTATTATTATATACGCGGCACTTTAAAATATGTCACGCGCACTTGCATCGAAATATAAAACACCTTAATTATTGGTTAATTTGAAATAAAAAATGTTTATTAACAATAAACTAGTAACAACGTACACGATATTTAACAGCAAGTGTTAGATTGTAACTAACATTAGTAAGGTATGCCTGTGACTGTGATATGATAATGAGGACTTCGTCATCGTGAGTCATTTCGTTTGGTGTTTACGCTTTTTGTTTACATTCAATAAATCGTGTTGTGTTATCTATATCGTCATTCCACACCCATAAAGTCCCATTTAGATTTAGTTAGAATTTGTTAGTGCATGTTCCGTGTAGATCAGATAGGCTATCGATGTTAACAAACGTGCGATGATTATTGTGCTCATATTATTACTGTTATTTCCTTTACTTCATTCATAGAAGAACGAGTCATTATTTTCGATATTTTTTCTGCAGTTGATAGGTTACCTAATTAGACAATTTATGTTCATAGATATTATAAACATAAATTACCTAAATGTACTTTATTAAAATCAATGTCAACCATAAAAATAATTGCAATGGGTAAACTATTTCAATTTTTTTTTCTGTCTGTATCATACTTTTATAATTAGTATATTTTAGATCGTACTTCTTCAAATATGTATAATCACTAAAAATTTTAAATATTTTGGGCCACACCAATTCGGTATTGTCTATGAAGAATGAAGGTACATCATCTTAAACTGGCATAAATAAACTAAAATAAATATTCACCACATTATGCTGAACTATCATGGGTTTTGTACAAATTAATCGCCAATACAACAAAACACTTAAATAAAACACAGCTCGGCGAGAGAGTTAAAGGCACGAATACATGTCAAAGTCCACGAGTAAAACGCACTGAATACAATTTGTCCAAGTAGGGTCGAACGGAAATTCTAAATTTAAACCATTTCTAGTGAAACGACCTACCAAACAGCGACTTGCCTATGGAGTAAGTAAAGACAAGATCACAAGACAAGACAGGCGCGCCGTGTGGGCAGCCATGAGACCCAAATGGTGCGAGTTATAAAGTAATTTAATTGTCAGGACGACAACGCGATGCATTAATCTTTTTGGCCAACTGTCTGTGTTTGGTGACTCGATTGGTTTCAAAGATAAAGTGATCTTTAAATGTTTAACAATCTTCATAAACTATTAGTGCTTCGTTGTAATTTATAACTTCCATCAGGTCAGGTTGTGAATTATTTTTCACAGTTCAACTTCTATTGAATTTAAATAAAAAAATTTAAAACAGTTTTTTTTCTACTAAACTGGTACAAGTTCAAAAAGTTACAAAGCAGATAGCCTTTTAAAGTATTCCATATATAGAAATAAGGTCACAGCTGGCTTACCTTTATAAAAAACAAACCTTTAAATCTTAAAACAGTAGTCTTTACACGGCAGTTTGATTGGCGGCAGTAAACAGAAAATTTTGGATCATTTAAAAATTTGCTTCACAAAAATATTTTTTTTAAATCAGTTCAACAGGGCAGTAAGTCATATAAATCGTAAAGTAAATTAACGAAATTGGTTTAAAATGATAAAGACATAGCAAAAAATACAATGAAAAAACACAATTGAGATCTTTTATTTTTGCAAGTAGCTTTCCATTTGCTATATATAATAATATTGTTTTTGGTAATTTCGATTTTCTTTTTAAGATCTAGATCAATTAGGATAATTTTTGGAGTAACTTAACTCTTTAAAAAATAATTTCAAAGTTTTATTAGATCCAAAATACCTATTCATAATAAAACTACTTAAAACGTTTTCTTTGTATGATATTAAAATAATTTTCTTTCTTTTTTTTTTATCGCATATTTATTTACTTAAATACATGAAATTAAACAATTTTCGTTATGTAAAAATTATTTTGTTCAAACAAACTACATAAATAAAATTAATCTGTTCATTTATTAAAAATTAGAGGCTTAGAAAGGAATTTTTAATTGATAGGGGTAAACAACAAAATGACAATTCTTCCACGTGTTCCGAACATTTATTACTTCCTTCAACATCTGAGCCAGATATTTAATTTTGTGTTATTATTTTTATGAGCGAATAAAGTGTGATCTTGAGATCATTCACCTCAAGAGCTGCAATCTATTTTTGTCACATGTTGTTATCCTGACAGAGGACTGTTTCTACATCTCCGTACGTTTTAAATGAGTCAACTCGTTACTTAAAGCATCTATAATTACTCTTTTAATCTGTTACCATACCACAAGTTACGCAACGTGACACAGATCGATACATAAAAATTTATGCATTTTAATTTAAAGTTTGTGGAAAAATATCGACGGTCATATAATTTGCTATGTTAATTTCAGGTTATTAACCAGCAAATTAGCGAAAACAAGAATCGGTTACAGAGCGTGCAATAAACTTCAATTTATCAAATAAAAATTCGCATTGGCTCAATTAAGAAATTAATAGAGTAGGTACATCATCCAGAGAACCACATTCCATGCTCCCACATAAATGTGTCACTCCTCGAATAGTGGATACAGTACAGAGAGCGCGTGGGTTCCGCGACAGGACTGTTTGCGAGTTTATTGCAAAAGTTTGTACTGGCATAGACCACAGCCGATGTAGGTGTTACTTGGTCTCGATAACATGTATTTGTCATTGATGGTTTAATATTGATAGATGTGCACTTTCTTCATACCACCCACCATGTTAATTCATTGGTTGTAATCAGTAGGTATTAACAATTTAAATAATATTACGCCTATTAGTGTCAGACTATAGTATTGTCAAGTGAAAGTTTTCGATGGAAAAGTTTGGTAACATGATATACCCTTTTATATTCGTTGCCTACTATAACAGTTATAGTAATATTGGGAAAGATTCTATTTTCTCTACATATTTACTTGATGTTACTTCAAATTTTCCAGAATTTTTTATTGAAGGTAATAAAATATAATAAATATAGTAATAATTTAATTAGGTAAAAGTCAGATCAGTCTCAAACGAGTTACAGAGTACATAGTAAATATATTTAAACTAAGGCAACGAATATAAAAGGGTATATCATGTTACCAAACTTTTCCATTAAAAACTTTCACTTGACATTTGAAGTAACACCAAGTAAACGTGTAGACAAAATAGAATCTTTCCCAATATTACTATAACTGTCCTCGATGAGAAGTGTTAGGAATAATAAAATATTAAATCGAAAAATAAGTCATAGAAATTCTTATTTCATTACTTCCTTTCTAATTCAAAACTTGCAGTAAAATTATTATTTACCATTTAATCGAAACGGTCACATAAGCAAAATGTTTTAAAATTGTAATGAATATATTAGCTTGTCTTGTTTATAATATTCCTTATAACTGTATATGACACAGCACTCTAAGGAAATATGAATATAATCAAGTGACCGTTAGAATGTTATAGACGTTCAATCGACGTTGAACGTTTCCAAAAACGTATTTGTTTATTATCTTAACACGTTTGAATCTCGAACATCACAACATTTTAATAGCATCTTATAAATCATAGCTATCTTCAGGTAAAACCTAAATATTATAATAGCCTCTAGATAGGAGAAGTATGATAGTAATTAGTCAGTCAAAATCAGAACAATATTTAACTTACAGTTTACTATATTATTGTAAAATTAATAAACACCTATGTAAGATTGTTTTGTTTTATTGCTTTATTGCATTCTATTATAATTTAATTTCTCTTGTTATATTTTAGGTACATGAAAGTTTGTTAGTCATTGTATTCATTGGAGACATAATTCAATTCCTAAATAACATTTAAAATATTTCGTTCACATTGTATTAGTTACCACAAAATTACGAGCTAGTAACGAATCATAGTACTATGGAAATTAAATGATTGAAGTGAATATTTCTAGGTAGATACAAACAGTTTTAAAGAGAACTATAAAACAAGTAGTGTTAAGAATTTTAAATATAGCCGTGAATAATGGAATTGGTTCCACTGAAAAATGTTATCGGTTGTTCGAGTTATTCGACTAGCCTTGCAACTGCTTCTTATATTCACTGGTTATTTGAATTATGTCGGTCATTTTAATCCTTCTGTAGGTATCCTTTTCTCATAAGTATAGGTCACTAAGACTTCTAGATCGTCTTATTCTATACTTTTTATTTATTTTCTTCTTTTTGGGAAACTAAACTAATATTACAAATTTGAAAAGAAAACCAAATATTATATACGAGAAGACAATATTTCAGTTACTGGCAAATGCTGTCGCTATAGATTTGTCAATTAATCTCCTTTTTAATATTGGATGAATATTGGATGGATACGTGGTCTAGTGTTTTGAGTAGTCATGCTCACTAAAATGTCCAGACTTGTGGCGGCGTGGTGGGCCGGGTCATTGGGCTCCCTAAAATATGGTCGAGCGCAGTGATGGCTGGCTCATCCGTCATACTCGTGAACGGGTGCTGCTTGTAGGGACTGGTCTGCTCTAATCACTATGACTGATTTCCTCTTATTAATTGTTTAACCAGTTGGTTATGTATTCAATTTTTTTTTTCTTTTTGAGTATTTAATTGAATTAGTGCTAATTGGTGGTTTGTATTCACACAATTAAACTTAAAAATGTAAAATAATAATAAAATTATTTAAAAGAGCATCACGCAAGTTTCTTGCTCGTTCTTCTTGTGATGAGACAGCTTTCCGAACGAGCGGTAAATTAAAAAAAATGTAATGACTTTTCAAAAGTGCTTCAATGTAAGTTTATTTGAATAAATGATTTCTATTCTATTCTATTCTATTCTGATGCATACATTATACCCAATCCAACTATTGCTCTGATATTCTATGTCCCAGGTTATCAATAATTTTCATCGTATAGTACCTACCTATATTCTATAGACAGAGTATCAAGTCTCAAAGACCGGTCAACTTTTTGTCAGCTAATTGGTAAATTAGCTGACTCTTTTTTATCAGTATTCTATATACTTATGTAACGATATATCTTAACGTATTATTTAATAAGGAAAATGAGTATTTACGCATTTAAAAGATGCAGAAATTATAAGACAAAATTAATATAGAAATTATAATGGAATCACTCATAACTATTTATCACGTAAAATTGTATGATAACCGCTTTTCTCGAAGCATTTGTATGGAGACACTCTATCTATACATATAATCAAAGAGTAGCTATTACAAAAACAACCAGCACAAGTTCAACATGGACATTACATATTATCCTGTTCTTCTTAATGTTAACTTGAGAGCTATCCATTGAAAATAACTATATTGAGGCCATTGATAATAGTGATTATGCCATGTTTAGGACATGTCTTAGAGGACATAATTAGTTTTTAGTAGTTAGAGAACATAATATATAATGCCCATGTCGCACTTGTGCTGGTTTCCTGTTGTTGTGCTACTTCCATGGTGAATTCCTAGAGAGATTCTATTAAGATTGCGACAAAACGAAATGGATTAATGTGTTTGTCATATTTATAGTTATATCTGTCAATGTGTTTGTATATGTATCAATATATTTCATAATGAAAATATTATAAATTAAATTTCATTAAAATAAATACACGTTTATTTTAAAATATGTTCATGATCGCTATCGATATTCATTTTTAGTGAATTCATATTTATATTTAGGTCTGCATAAAACCATTTCTTTAATGAATCAACAGCGAGGTATTTGATGGTAAACAGTGTTTTTTTTTTTTTTTGTAATAGAATCCAACTATAGACTTCCATCTATGTTAAACCATTGTATAATGATACTGTTAATGGATCTTTAAAAGAACTACCTACGTGTAGAATCGGTTACATTAATTACATTTAAATATTTTGAGTGATTATGATAAAATTCGCATTAACATGAAATTTCAAACAAGAACTTGGTAGTCTATATTAAACCTTAACCACATAAATAATTATTTTATATTAATGACACCAGTTGGTTTCTAATAAACATGGCATATGTAACTGTAGCAGACGTATTTTATTTTGCTGTGTGCGTCATTTCATGATTCATACTCAGCTTGATGACCCCTTGAGTCAGGGGATACCTACATCTGCGATAACTGATCGTATTTATTTTATAAATAATAGTACCCAAGAGTTTATTTATTTTATAGTAACATAAACGCAAAAAATATATGTAATTAACTGTAACTGATTATTAATTTTATTTAACTGAACTTAATTGAATTATATTTCATGTAAATTATTGGATGTGGGTACTTAATAACAGTCGTGCCAATATAAATTTATAACAATTATTGTTTTACAAACCTTAGGTACTTGGGTGCTAGTATAATATTATATTTTCTGTGGCATAGGTATCTTGTCAATACCTATTGAAATATTTAAGTTAGGCATTTATTTTATCTAATTATTTAAATAATAATTAGCAATTGGAATTACTTATATAATGAAAGTGTATATATAAGTAATCTTTAATAATGATCATCATTAATTTATCTAGCGCCCTGAGCAAAGTTCGTATAAATACGATTTTCTATTAAATTCATCTACTTTCACAAAAGATAATTTTTTTTTTATGAGTGAAAATGGTATGGTAACCCCGCCTGCGCTAACGGGATACGCTGGCGGAGCACCAGTGAAGGGTGATAGATGAGAATGCAAACAGGCCAGTTAGCCCATCATGATGAATTCATCAGGAATTAATCATGATAGTTTCCAGGGGGAACCGCGAGGAGGTCGACCTGGTTGGGTATATTGCTAGCAATGGGATTCTCAGTCTCCATTACTAACAATCCCTTTCCCCCTACAAAAGATTAATTAGGTACTTAAATACAAACATTTCGTAAAAAAATACTAAATAACAGAGAAACCAGTATCAATATCCGCTGTCAAGTTTAAGACATTAGTGGAGAAGCAGAAATGTGGTCTGCTACATTGTTTTATAAATATTATTTAGGCACAATTTAATTTTACAGCAGTTATTATGTATATTTAATTAATATAAACAACACTTTAAGCAGTAATTGTTTTTAATTAGCTCTAGTGAAAAACAGTTATTGCTTAAAGACGATCGTCTCTAATGCAAAAACACATTCCCTGAAAATTTTCAAAAAGTTTTTTATTAAACATGATGCGAGTAGTGACATCTTTGATCAAATACGACCAATTTATTAGAGCGACCTCTGTACATTGAGAGGAGTAATATAATAGGAGTTATAGAAGCATGCCTATATGCTTCTAAATATTATAATTTATCTTGAATTGCCGATAGATGGCATACTCGGTTCGCTTTAATACTTAAATTTTAAAATTAAATTCGGTGATGAATAGTATATGGTAATTTTTTTCAATGGGATTTTATAGGAATGCGTATCCCGTACGGGATTACGGTATATCAAAGATGGTACACGCAAACAGGGCACCCTTGAATGAAAGAATTAAAAAGTATCCTATATGTTTCTTCATTCCCCATATTTACTATGTATAACTATTCCAAAATTAACGACGGTTGGTTGAGCTGTTGAGAATCCAATAATTTATTTGTTACCTCAATCTAAAAAAAGGGATTGTTAGTAATGGAATCTAATAATTCCATTGCTAGCAATATACTCTATCAGTTACCACGCGGTTCCTTCTGGAAACTATCGTGGTTAAATTCTGTGGAATTAATCACAATGGGCCAACTGACCTGCTTTTATCCTCATCTATCATTCCTCACTAATGCCCCGTTAGTGTATACCGATAACGCAGGGGTGGTTGTCATTCCAGTTTTACCCATTAAGAAAAAAATAATCACGGTTAGAAAGGAAGGGGTTGTTAGTAACGAGAACTATCACACCCATTGCTAGCAATATCAGGTCGATCTCTACGTCGATCCCATCAATTGTTTCCATCATCCCACGATGGAAACCATCGTGGAATTATTATTGTTGAGAAAGCAATCCACACATTTCTTAATATGGCAACGTTATTAGTCTATGTTCGATGTATGTAGAATGATGCTCTCTGGTTGCTGTCTTGTAATTGAAAGAAAAGAAATATGTCGCCTCTAATAAATTGTATAACATAAATATATTAATAAATATATAATATGAATAATGTGTCTAAATATATACAATATATACTCTGCTAAATTACTTCAAAATAAAAATTATTATGAGCCAAGTGACTCCATACTCGCCTATAATCCCTCAACGCAAGATAACGCAAGCTACGTTACCTTTCTTCATTTTCATTCATTTAAAAAAATTATCATCGGCTTAAAGCTCGTACAATGCAAATATGTAAATGCTCATGAATATCTGTACAAGTATATCTGGTTACATTACTTGAATGTTTTCTATATACGAGTAGTCTGTAATTAAGAAAAAAACTATTTAATTGTTTGTATCAGTTGTTGTGACGACCTCAAATCATTGAAGGGAGCCAATGGATCGTAATGGCTTAGGACCGTTCCTTATGGCAATCTATGGGAGAGGCCTATGTTAAGCAGTGGACGGGTAACTGATAATATTAAGATGATAATGATCAGTTATTTACTAATCGTAATACAAGACCTACTTTATTTAAAAACTCGATAACACGGTATAATATATCTAATCACTTGTTTTATTACGCATAAAGCAGTTTAATTAAATTATATTAATTAATTAAATTCATCTCAAAAATCCAGTGTTAAAAAATATTTGAGTGAACATTGAAGCTGACAAAAATATTAATTGCACGCCCATTTTTCACGCCAACAATATGTAAATATGAAATGTTAACAGTTTACAGTCATGCCATCCAAAACTAATAAAAAATGCATTAGTTAATTGCCGAAATTACCGAAAATACAGTCCGACCCTTACTTGGGTAAAAGGAAATGTGTTGAAAACTTCCCCTTACAAATGAGACGATTTCATCCCCTCGCATTCTGTTCCCAGGGGTGCGTGGGGGCTGATATCTCATGTGCATTAAATGTCGCTTTCAGACGATATAATTCGGGGTGATATTATAACGTTATTTTTGATGGAATTAAAAAAAAATTCGCTAAGTGCGAGTCGAATTCGCATATCAGTTAAAAATATTATACGTGTAAATTATTTTGTATTGTAACACGCAGCTTTGCTCTCGTAATCGAGTAAAAAGTAGCCTATGGTGTTTGTGTATTCGACAGTTTGACTTATATTACGTTTCATGTAAAAATAGCTAAAGTAAAATTTTTTCAGTCTATTTTGATACATTTAGGTCAATACTAGTTTTTATCTGTGACTTTGTCTGCAAGATCGTAATGTGTTCAATGACCGCTGCTGCTCATCCCTCGACTATAAAATCCCTTAGTCGTTTCTTACGACACCCACTGGAAAGGAAGGAGTGGCCTATTCTATGCCGGGACCACATGGCAATAATTCTGTACATATAACAATCACCATTATTTTAGACTTAACATTAGTATCAACAGTTATACGCTATCGGGCATGTAACAATTTATTTAGCAATTATTATAAATATCATTTTAATATTTTAGATATTATATAATTCGAAACAAATATGAATTATTTGGAAATATTACATTAGATATTGATTGATGGCAGTATTAGGTATTTATATTGAAACATCGCGCACAGAATATGCATTAGTAGGTACACGTACCTAATCAAAATATCGGGCACAGCCAGATTATAATATTAGTAGCATATCGTATTCGATTTTATTTTGCGTGGAATTTTCAAATGAAATTAAGAAAATTTTCCATTAGATTTTCTGCGTGGGAAGGTCATACGAGTTCTCTTAGTTGTTTAATTTGAACTAATAATTTGTTTTCTATAGTTTTTATAAACAATTCCAGTAGGCGTATCTAACATTAGATGCTTTTCAGTGTCGGATAACGATCCCACGCAAAATCTTTTCATACAATTCCAATCATCCTAATGCGATTTCTAATATTTAGGAGCAATTTTAGATTTGTTACGATGATATTTTTTAGACGATTAAAGAAATAGATTTTTTTAAGCTTATATTTTTAGATGACGAAAGAAACAGTTTATTTTAAATACTATATATTTATGCAACTTGGAACAAGCTGATGGTCCATCTGATCGAAAGTGGTAACGTTTGTGGGTATATTTAAAGGGGCGCAAGGTAAATAACGTCCACCATAGAATTGTCTAGTTCTCTTCTCTAAAACATATCTGAGAGTACATATGCACATTTTAAAAGGGGCTAGGTCCTCCCTGAAAATACTAAAAATGCCAATGTAACCTATAAACTGTCGACTATAGAATACAGTTATACCTATGTTATTCGTTATAGGTTTTTCATTTCTTGAGGAATAAAATGTGATCTCTTCGTATCTTGCAATTTCATATATCACTCTTCAAATTAAAACACAGTCATTTGAACAAACAAATTTGAAAATAAAATTCATAATTATTCTCCAGGGTAGCCCTGGCTCCTTAAAAAGGCGTACTCGTATTCTATGCCACATGTTTTTACACATAGTTGAAAGACCAGCTCGCATCCTGGAGTGGGTATCAAACGATTCTGCGATGGGCACTTCCCCCTCCCGCTCCCCATAAATACACCTACGGCAGTATAGAACTATACATATACGTGACTTTTAATATTAATACAATAAAGAAAAGAAAGAATCCAGGAAATTAATAAAAAAAATACATATTACTTTTGTTCCAATAAAATGAATTTATAAATAACTGCCGTACCCACGCTGCGTTCCTATCTATTTTTATATTATCCCCTCTATACAAGTAGCAAACGAATATATCAACAGATATTTTATTACTACCCCGTGGGTGAAATATAACTATACTTAATTTCAATGGAATTTAATAATAATAATAATAATAACTTTATTGCATAACCATGATTTTAACAAACTCAGCACTGGAAATTACAGTAAAAGTAGATACGAGGAAGAACAAAGTATCCAAAGAAATAATAATATACAATACAAATATTTTCTTTATCAGAGGAAGATTGTATACAAAAGTCGTCAGCTTGGGCACATTTGTCCCATTTGTGTTTCTGCCATGAATCAACTATACTCACATGGCTGTATATCTTTCTGTTTGAAATACAATTACAGAATACGAAGACATAACTATAATATATGACATAGTTCAATGTACAGGCATTGAAGTGCATTTTGTAATAATAAATAATGGAATCGTAATTTTGCTTACGTTAACGGTATACGCTAGCGGGGCACCAGTGAAGGATGATAAATGAGGACAATAGCAGCCCATCGTGATGAATACACCTGAAATTCAGCTTGATGGTTTCCAGGGAGGATCACGTGGAGATCAGTCTGACAGGGTATATTGCTAGCAATAAGACTGGTAGTCCGCTTTACTAACAATCCCTCCCTCCTGTTCATGTTGTGGGTTATGCTGGCCATCAGTTAGACCGTCAGCTTCTTTGTCATTCTAAATATAAATATAAATAAAAAGGCAGTTTTTGTTGTAAAAATGTCTAATAAAAAAAATTGACACCCTTCTTATCGTAATAATATTGGTCGCAGTTGACATAAAAAAGTTACGGCAGTCGACCAGTTCTGAATAGCAATGAAGGGCGATATTATACTCGTACTTTATTCACTTGTAGTACATTTTTTAGGACGTAAAATTCCCAAAGTATGCCCAGCAATCGTACACTATATTGAATTATTACTTTTCTGAATGGCAGGCATCAAGACAACTAAAAATCTATGTGGTAACTGAAAATGCGTAGGTACTCATTTAACAAGATTTGGGTTTGCATCCTGTCAGAGGAGGTTTAATTTTTAAATTTATTACGAGTGTTAACTATTATCTTTTACCCGCGATTTCGTCCGCGTGACGTGATATCTCCACTGATTGGGATAAAAAGCTGTCTTCTTCTTCCCATATAGTATGTATACATATACCAAATTTCATAGTGATGTATTAAGGTGTTAAGATGCTAAGAGATAGTAAGGATTAAATCAATTTGAATCATATAAAATTATATAAATATGAGATTGGTACCAAATTTTATTTACCAACAATTCTAACATATTTATGTAACCTCTGAATGGTCTTGTAATAAGATTACAATGTACGTAAGAGGCGACTACAGAAATGAAGCTCAGTGTACTAAAGCAAGAGAATGAGAAATGGAAATAATTTCCAATACCAAATGATTTAACCAGCGTAGTAATAGTACCTAATCATATCATCTTAGGGGCAAAAGAGATTTTTAGTAATAGAGTCGAACTGCCCATTGTTAGCAACATACCGTGTCAGGTTGACTTCCACGCGGTCCCTCTTGAAAACCAAAATGGTTAATTTTTCATGAATTCGTCACGATGGACTGACTTATTTTTGTCTTCTCCTAACATCCGCTATTGTTGCTCTGCCAGCTTGTACCGATAGCACAGGCGGAGTTATCATCTATTAAAAAAAATATGTCCTCCTTTTATGAAGGCATCTATCTCCATCCAGTGAGGTGCAAATTAAATATCGTGATAATTGTGATATATATGTATATGATATGTATTCCTTTTATGATTTCATTAAAATTAGTAACGTACCTACATAAGAGTTATTTTATATAAATTCGTTAAAACTGTTATATAATCTAAGTAGATATAAACGTTTTTAAAAGACATTAAGTAACGTAAAATTTTAAGCTTGATGCTAGATCTGTTAAAGTGGCTATAATTCGACCAAATATATTATGGGACCTCTTAAATTGTGGGCAATAAAATAGTCTGGAGTGTACCCTTCTCAACAAATTTACATTTTTATAAGGCACTAGTTTTACCCGTGACTTTATCCGCCTGACCGGAATAAGTTATTTGACCGGAAAAAAGTATTTATACCATCACTTAAAAAATAATACAAATATATACATTTATACAGTTATAAAGTTCTAAAGCAATCTCTTCTAAACAATTTTGGTGAAAGAAAAAAGAAAGAAATCTATTCGATGCAAGAAATATATCCAGTGAAAAAAACGCTCATGTTAATAAAACATATGCCAATAATCATGTGCATGTCTGATATGCTTATAAATATTATATAATCTAAATATGTACTTATAACAGTAAATATTATATTACATAAATAAATGTATAAAATATATACCATACAGTTAGATATCTGGTCGTAAGATTTTTTCCACCATAGATTTAGATAAATGTATGTCTATGAACAGTGCGTATACATCAAACTTTATGTCGATTTTTAAAAACGTTATCCAGGAGGCGCTAAAAGGTAAAATACAAAAGTCACTTTCACTAAGGATTATAGATAGAATTTGGCTACTGAAGAAATTTGTTTGAACAAGGCTTATCTAAATAAATATGCTACATAATTTCTGTAGGTATCATAGTTTTGGAAATAGTAGAGTTACGTTAATCTACATATATTTCGTAACTAAAGAAATAGTAAAACCAAATTAACTAAGTAACAGATGAATAATTACCACTGTCGGCGGCCTGTTACCCAGGATTACCCTTAATTGTAATAAAAACAATATATTGTAATAGTACGCAATTTGTATTACAATATATATGTAGGTATATTCCTACGCGTAGCGCCGTATCAAGGCGGGGTCTACATACTCGGGGGAATGGGGGAAAGTTGCCATACAAAAATAATGATTTCCCCATTCTGAAAAATAATGTGATCAGTTCTTTAATTCGTTTTTATAAATTATAGAACTTTTCTATTGTTTTAATAGACTTTTATTAATGATACGCTAATGTGGAAGCGATTATCTCCCATCCAAGTGACAATACTTTTTTTTTATATTATAAATGCTTAGTAATCAAGGTTATGATAATTATGTATCTTTTTTTTGTTTCTTAAACTTTCTCCCTTTAAATATATATATTTTTTTATTACAGTGTTGATAATAATATTCGAATTAATAGTATTGTTATCTTAAAAGTAAACTATTTTGCAAAAATGAGGCACTGTCTGAGGCAATCAATATCTCTCTGAGGATTTTTAAACACAATTTTAACATATTTCACCTTTATAAGACCTTAATACACTATTTAGAATTTCTAATAAGGGATACCTATTGTAATTTGGGGAAAAAATTTGCCATCCACTCAGACCCAATCTATTTTCCTCATTCACTCAGGTTGAATACATTTCCAAATACATATTGAAAGGATAATTACTATAAAAGAATACTTAAAAATATAATATGAAAGATGCCGCATAAGTCAATTACGTTCCAAAATGAATGAGCTATTTCAAATATTTGTTACCACTCTAATGTACTCATTCTGTAATTAAGGTGGAAACATACCCCGCGTAATGTTAGTGAAAATGAAGGTTTAGAGATTTTTAAATTTTATATATAATCATACTAACTACTTACTATTAATGTAATTGTAACGTACTCTAGTGTAGAGTTTCTAGGCAGCCTTCGTTGTATATGAAAGGCTCTGCCTACCGAATGACTGCATCATCTAATCGTATCATTATACGGTTTCATAAGGACTAGTACGCATTGTTCAGCGACCGTACGGGATGGTAACAATTGGGAAAGGCCTTTCCCCAACAGTGAGATACTTTGATTGATTTATCATTATCATTATATCAGCCTTTAACTGTCCACTGCTGAACATAAGTAGTTGCCATGTTTGGCAGGCGGGTTAACAACAGGATGATTGATTGATGCCAGTTATTTTGTAGAGTTATTTTACTAAATAGAAAACTCATGGGTAGTAGCATAATGAAGTCTTTTGTTTTTAACAGGATCACAATTAGTCATGCTTCCTATGAAAATAATTAAACAGACATTTAAGCTTATGTACCTCCTACGCAAGCGTAAAACCTAAGATTTCCCCCATTCATTCGGGAAATACTCCCCCCAAACAGCAATCACCCCCACAACATTTAGTACAACCCCAGCCGCATCGCGGCGAGCGCGTTTCGCGCCGCACTCTCAACAAAACCTACAAAATGTAATTACTTTCCTATAATAATATTATTTACACAGATAACCTATAATATTCATAATCTATTATAATTATATATATACTAAGTGTATTCAATAGTTTTTCCCGCGCATTTGATTATCGACAATCGATGTCATATTTCAAGATTGATTTTTTTCGTGTCATGAATTTGGCTATGTGGAACATTGTTTTTTGGTGTCCCATTTTTTTTTATTTTCACATCATAATAAAAACAAAGAATAGGAGTAGTGGAAGAGAGTAGATAAGAAAATAATTGAATAATGTATATATTTTATCATTGAATTATCTTAATACATTTAATAAAAAAATATTATATAATTAAAAGTAAAAAAAAATATATTATATAGTAATAAAACAATTATAAACTAAAATTCATTCTCATAAAAATAAAAAATGAAAATATAGTGAAATTCATATAATTAAAATATATTTATATTTACAAATTTTATCAACCTTTAAAAAATATTTTACTTTGAACTCAAAATTAAATTACGCAACATAAAAAATAATTATTTATAAAAAAAATATTATTATGTTATAACGTGGTTATGTAAATAATTTATTTATTTATTCTTTATTATATCTTATATATTTTCACTAACTTTATTTATATTTTACAAACACTTTTAAAAAGATCACATTTTCAACAGTAGTAAAATATTTCAAGTAGTTTATACATGTACCCCTATTATGAGTGATGACAAATCAAAATATATTTGTTTCAATTGTGAATACAATTTTCATATCAAATACACCTATATTTTCGGTTAAAACTTGCTTCGTAAAAGCATTTCGGCAGTGTCATGTCAAAATGGCGGGTGTTGGAAGAAACGGAGCTACAATTTACCTTTTACAGACAAGATACAATGTTCGTCTGTGGTTAATGAATATTAGAAAAAATAATAATATAAATTTTAAAATAATAATAATAATATAATTATAATACATAAATTTGGTAAACGATTATTGTTTAAATACCTATGATTTTATTAGTTAAATACTATTCCATAATAAGATATACTTATAAATACACATAAGCATATGATATACATATATAGTATTATGCAGGAAGTAGAGCATTTATTTTTGATTAACTTAAAATTAGTAGCTATATTTTTTTATTAATTTAAATTAAATATTATATTATGTGTCTAAGTAGGTAAGTACTTATGGTATGTAATCTTCTAAGCAAGTGATTCGTTCCATGCCGTGAATTTAAGCAACGACATGACTTTATTTAATGAGCATGTACTTTTTATTGACTAGGTAAAAGTTCCTTTAATTAATTTGTCTCTATTTTTAGTGTATACTTCAATCGAGAGAAAAAAAAATATTACCTTTTAGATATGTATCAATTTAGTTAATAATGAAATTCTTTTTAACATAATTTTAAACAATGACAGAAACAGTTTATTAAAGAATAATAATTTAAAAATTGGAAATTATTTTCAGTGTGATGTAATTTGTTGCAAAAGCGGGACATTAGAATTTAAAAAGCCTAAAAATTATTTATATGCTTTCAATAATATCTTATTTTATTATGACAACATCAACAAAATAATTTAAACCCTTCTCTTGTTTTTACGAAAGCAAGAATATTTTATGTAGTTAATTGAATTATATGTCGCAAAATACTTTGCTAGAATTCCATTTATAAATTTTATTTTTGGCATAAATTCATTACTACTCGTAAAATATGTACACACAAAATTGAATTAAATATCAAAATGAGATTATAAACTAATAATAGTTGGACAGGTTCAATGTTTCAATTAATTTATAAGTAAGCGTCTAAACCCCAATCTTTTTAATCTTTTCCCAGAGGTATGGATACTTGTAATTATATCAACAAAAGATAAAGTGGGTGTGGATTATATCAGTCTTAAATGTTAATAAGAGAATTAGTATTTGAGAAAATCTCGCATATAATTATGTATATGGATATGATGTATCTAAAGGTACCTATTTGATAAAACATTACAAACGCAAAAGGTCAACACCCACGCTACAAAACTTCTATTCAAGACTGCCATATTTATTTTAATTAGGAAATAATTCAAGCCCGGGTACAGTATCCATTTGCTGACATTTAACGAAGTTCATTTACTAATAACATCTATTATTAGGCAAGTACTTGATATGGATATATAATTTAACTTATAATCATTACAACGGTAACAGTCGATATTACTCGTAATAATAAAACAGCAAGTCACAAACATGTAAAATAAATAAAAACGGAAAGTACGGGACACTTCTAAAACTAATAGCATTTACCCGCGACTTTGTCCATGTGACCGAAATATGTTCATTAATCGGAATAAAAAGTAACCTATGTCCCTCTCTATTGCATATATGTGGGTATACACAGTACCCATATCCATGACGATTGGTTAAACTGTTAAGCGCCAAGAGTTAACAAATAAACTTATCAAACTATCACATTTTTAATAATACGATACGGTACGGAGGTAAGGTTTTCCTTAAATCGACAGCTCCTTTTCTTAATTACGCTACTACGAGTCAAATTAAAGATTTGAGTAAAATTACAAGTATACTTATATTTTGTTCGAAACAAGTTTAATGAGGCAAAGAGTAAAGGGTATGGAGGTAACGAAACAAGGCGATTATATAACTTTCCAGTACAAACTTCAAGTTTAATCCGTTTTTTATTCTATACAACAAGCACTTGTGATTAAGACTATATCTTTGTTAACGGCTATTAATTAACTTTTCTTCTAAAATGACTTTTTGATAATAAAACGAATATTTTATTCGACCAGTATTATATATATAATTTTATAATTTCAAACACGTCCAAAAGCCTGATTTTTTTTAGTTGAAATTGAGTAGGAATTATCGAAAATTTGTCAGTAGTTAGTGTGTGAATTTAAACATTATTTATATAATAGAATAAACAGACAGAAACCATTAGACCTTGGTGCCGGAGGTTAGGTGATTAGTAAACAAATCTTTGAATACCTAATAGACGTCTCAGATGACCTAATTAGTGTCTGATTTTGTTAGCGTAGTTATATATAAAAAGAGAAAATGTAGACAGCCTTTTTAGTACCGTAATAATTAACGATCAATTAACTTTTTTTTTTAATTATTAGTTGCTCATCCCAGCTTCCCACGGATATAGTAATGATAAAAATTAACCAATGGCCATATTACACATTCTCTCTTTTATAAGAAGGATATTTTTAACCCAAATTTTAAATTTTTCCTAGTCCTGATAATTACAAACTCAATAAAAATTAATTAGTCAAATGGGTAGTCTTTCTGAAGTGATGAGCTTCAATATATTCGGCAATGGATTTGTATATATAAGTATATATACGAGTATATAAGTAGATAATATAACTATAGATATTTTTTTAATAAACTAGACATAACAAATAATTTTATAGCCCACCTGATGGATAGTATGTTACTGGTTATTTGATTACAATTCTTTTGTTTAATTCCGCTACCATTAGTATACACCTGACTGCCAACACTCAAAGATTGACCACCATTATTCCTTCCAAAAATTCTACAATCTTCCTTATTAGCATTCAATCTCCAACTGCCATTTTATTCACACATGTTTTGTGTTTCAATTCTAAACGAGGCATCTTCAGGCAGATTATTAGATCGCTGCTCGAAAAAAGTATGTTATCAATAATGCCGTATTAGATTTTTTAATAAGAGAACTTGGGCTTGTATAAAAGCTCGTCATTAGCTTAGAGCTATGAAGTATTTATAGAAAAACTGATAGGATACTTTCCATCTATAAATTTTAATATCAAAGTAGAGAGGAAGAGTATAATTAAATCAACTGCTTGATCAAATAGGTTTGTCAGTTATAAGACGTGCCGTTTCAAGTAGAAACTTGCACAGCAGTGTCATTGCATCCGAAACCGCGTGAATTCAATAATATTTCGTGAACTGTATTACAGAAGTTTATGAAATGTTGCGCATTAATTTCCTAAGGTCTTGCATTACACTGCACCAGGAAATTATGCGTATCTACGTATATACTTAGTTATACAATCTCATGATTGAATGATGGAAATATCAAACAAACGCAGGTATTCTATACTTTTTTGATTGAATTATGACAAAGAAAAAATGGAATTATCTTTAATTAAATTAATTACGTAGGTATTGAAATAATCATACCGTTATTTTACACGTAGTGTAGTTCATAAAATAAAGTATGTTATAATGCTTTATTTCAAAATTATATTTACATAAAAATAAAATTAGTGTCATATTATATAATAACTGAAACAGAAAAAAATCGTAAATAAATATTTATTATTTAATTAAATTTATAATAACTATAATATAGGTAAAAATAGTATAGGTAAAAAATTAGTATCTAAACTATTTTCTTGCAGAGGCTTAATTATTTTAATACTATGAGTGCAATTACTTTTGAAATTAAAACCGTTGATCATAATTCTACTACAAAGTCTGCAAAAGGGGTCATGTTTAGAAAGTTCATACTGCTTTATTGTTGAATGTACAATTTACGTGTTTTTCATTACTGTATTTAAGTATTTTATTATTATCGTGTTGTTTATAGTCTTGTACAATAAATTTACAAAACAGCAAGAACAAAATTATTCTAAATCATTAGTTAATTTTATTACGAACACTTACGCACCAGTATCAAAATTTTGTTAACTTTATAAAAAAGTTTGCTTATATTTATGTGTATAAATATACATTGTTATTTATATTATTTTCAGAGAACACAATCAGAAGAATCAATTAATTATACACAAAATAAAGACTGCTGCAACGGCGACAATAAATTTTAGTATTAAGTAAAAAATAATAATTCTTCTACAAATGATATCAATGAGATAACTGCACCTATTTTATCTCAGTGAAAGTTTACAATGATTTGTAGACAAATATGTGATGTAATAAGATATAAGAAGTTATTGGTGAACCCTGGTGAAGTGAAAGTGTTTTGTTAGTGATCATAACAGCGTGGCTGTATGCGAACGTGTTCAAACGCGCGTGATTTAAAAAAATATACATCATACGATGCGCGCGTAATTTAAAAAAAGAAGCACACGAGTTAAACCAAAGGAAGAAAACGCGGTCGTGTCGAGTTTTCGTTGGGGTTGAAGGCTGTATATCATTATATTGTGTGAGGCTATCCGCCCCCGGGTTTGGGCCAATGACGCCACGGGCGACGCCCCCGCGCGGCAAGCCGCCGCACTTCTGTCTGGGAGTTTTGCTCCTGATACTGAATGCCGGTAAGTCAATTTTACAATACTATTCCTTACCATTCTTGTGTTTAGTCTTATATATTTTACTACTACACAGATTAAACATATCATTTGTATTTTAATGTGAAATACAACAGATACATTTTAGTATTCATCTCTACATGAAATAAATGTAGTAGTAGGTAATTTTGATTTGACTTAAATATTTCAATATTTAATTATATTATTTCGTCTTTTACACTTTTAAAATCTACATCCAGATACTGATATTATTTTTAAGCAACTTTTAAAAGGAGGGCATTCTCGATTCGTCTTGTTTTTTCAAATATTAGACATTATTTTCGTTAAACTATACAGTTTCTCATAATCGTTTTTACTATCGATTGAATTTACACACATGATGGCCTCATATTTATTTTATTAAGATTTTAATTGTTGTTTTAGGTAATAAAGTTTAAAGAGCGCTCATACTGAATTGCATCTTCGTAATTATCTCGGAATTTTTAACAATGAACAATTTAACTATTCAATATTTCTAAACGATTATTTAAAAAATGAACTGATAGTAAATTAAAATTTTTTTCTTAGATTCATAAACATAATGTACGGTACACTTTGGTATGAACGTTGTTAAATTATTATTCTTTATTATTGCGTATTGGTTTTTCCCATAGTGTCATATATGACATATATAGTATATTCTACATATACCATATACTTGTAATCTCTTTGTTATGCTCATAATTGCTACGATAGATCTTTAATTTATATATATATATATATATATATATATATATATATATATATATATATATATATATATATATATATATATATATATATATATATTACAGGGCACAGAGAAATAACATCTTAGTCTTCAGGAATGGCAACGCATGGAGGCTATTATTGGTGAAACAGTATACTTTGTTGTGTCCATGATACTGCTCACGTCTATAGACGACAGTTACCACTTTCCATCAGGTGGGCCGTCAGCTTGTTTGCCATTCTAAGTTGTATAAAAAAATATTGACTTAAAAAAGAAAAAAGTTCTCAATTCGGTTGTATTTTTTAATTCTTTTTTTTTTTATTGTTATTAGCTCATAACTCCATCTGTTTTAAACTGATTTCAAAAATTCTTTTTTTTATCTGAAAGGATATATTGTAATTGTATATACTTTAATTGGTTCCACAGAAATTTTGTCAAAATCGATTTAGTAGTTTAGTTTTTCAATCACAATTGAAGTCGATGTTTTGTGGGTATGTTCTACATGTACCATCTACTTGTAATCTCTTTATTATGATCATAATTACTACGATAGTTATTTATATATATATATATATATATATATATATATTTATATAGATATTATAATTCACTATATTATATATATATATATATATATATATATATATATATATATATATATATATATATATATATATATATTTATATAGATATTATTATTCGCTAAAGTTATTAAAATTCTTAAATAAAAGCGTCTAATGCATTAGACGCCTGCCATATTTGCCTATATAATGTAAGTATAGGCAAATATGGTACGCTAAATAAAAAATATTTAAATACTGCCGAAATATGAAAAATCTTAACAGCAATTAACAGCAAGGCAATGAAAAATAACGCGTGGTCACGACGTGGATTGCATCACTTTTGTGTCCACGACGTGGTGCAATCCACGACGAAACGTCGGCAATAAAGAAGGTTTGTAGATACTATTTAATTAAAAAAAAAAATCGTCGTCGCATTAAGTCCCGATATTGTGTTTAAAATATGTGTAAATAACACGAAAATTTAAAGTTAGCAATTATTTACGTTTTCTCAGTTTGAAATATGACATTAAAAGATTTCAACGAGCTTCGTTTACTGAGCCAATTAGGCATTTAAAAGCGTTGGACATAGAACTACCATTGAAAAATTATCACCTATTTTATATATTTTTTATATTAATTAATATATATTATATAATAATACCTGTATAATAAACTTTCCAATGCTTCTTTTGTATTAAAAATCCAAATTTTCAATCATAACTTAAAAATCTTAATGCGTTATGAACATTTTTAAATAATGAAACAGAAATATATTAAGTATACATATCATTAAAAATAAATATAATTTATTATAGAAAAATTGGGATTGTCCAATTATTTTAAAAAAGTGACATATAACTTTAACGTTGTCACATATTAGTGTACTTCGGTATAGATGCTCTCAACGGTGAATATAAACCGCGAGAAAACAAGACAACAACAAAAGAAAACAACAAACAATTTTTCAGAACTAGGTGCTATCTTGCAGAAATTCATATCACTGTTTTCATTGATTGCAATTATTTTGGTTAATTCCGCTTCAATTAATGTATGTATGACTGTGATTGTTTTGCTTGAAGATGTCTCGTTAAGAGGTAAAATACTTATCGTAAAACATGCGTGGACAAAATGGCAGTTAGAAATTGAGAGCTAATATGGAAGGTTGTAGAATTTCTGGTAGTAAAGATAATGGTAAATTTTTGAGTGTTTGCACACGTACTAATCGGGGCAGAATTAAACAAAATTATTCTAATCAAATAATTATATGTATAATTTTCATCATTTCTCATTCTGAGCTATAAAATTTTTGTATAACTTCAAATTGAAGACAACATGTTGGCTTATTTGATGAAAAGTGATAATGTCTATAGACAAAAACAGTGATTTCAATTTTTATAAAACTAAAGATCTAGAATAATTGTATTTCACAGCTATTAGATATAGAGATAGATTATTCTAAATTGATACGTAAATCCAGGATATACTATATGTGTACCGATTTCTATTCACATCCGTTTAGATATTATTTATTATTCACGTTATTAATTCACGAGAGCAAATTCACTTGTTGTATCTAGTATTCTGTAATAACTACATAACCCTCAACACGAGTTCCATTTCGCTTTAATAAAACCAATGACGTCCGGTTAGCATAGCAAGCAATTTTCACATCTACATAGTTAAATAGGTACATATATTGAACTACAAATACATATATGCAGGTGGTCGTGATCATTACTCACTGTGACCATGTATTGTTTATATTTAATTACGCTATTAGTGACTGCTTTATTATTATCGTTTGATGAAAATAATGCTTTTAATTGGTTCTTAGGAAAATACTTACTGATCTTGCTAGATAGATACTCAGTGTAACTTACACTTATGTAAATTGTACTTATGCCTGTTATTTTATTTTCATTTTTACAAATAAAATTATCATTTATTTTTTAGACATGTATTTATGAAAATCAACTTCAAGTAGCTTAAAAGAAAATAAAAGATCTAATATTGTTAACGAGAACAATATTCTAATACTTGTCCGTATACTTCCTTGGTTAATTATTTAAAAGGTATTTATTAGTTGCTTTAATATATTATAATAGAAAAATTAGGATATAAAAACTTCAAGGTTCTTAAAAGAACTTATAGTAATGTATACATTGAGAGAGCCAGTATAAGACTTATCAATCAAGACTCAGCTAGTATCCAAAGGTAAGCAACTCAATCAATTGTCGAACGTACCCTTGTAATTGTGACCTACATCTGGTGTTTATTGATGTCACATACGGTTTAATAGTACCTATTCTACATCTTGCCTGACCTCATATAAGCTCGTCAAATAATCTACAGTGTGTATCTATTTATTAAAATATTCACCTACATACATAGATTAAAATATGACCGACAACCAGTCTCAGTGCTCGATCTAGTTATCCTGTAGCTTTACTATTAGCCTTTACATTAAATAACCATGTAAATTCGCAGTGAACATATTTTACTTTTTGTATTAGATTATTCAAAATTTAGAGCAGTATATATTTTGCGAAGGGGATATAAAGTTCATGGATGCAAACTGTGTTTTAATTTAGATTTTTTTTTAATAATACTTAGCAAACAAACTGACTGTACATCTGATTAAAACGTTGTAGGACGGTTCTCGCTTTCTATCTATAAATTTAAAAACACCGTGGACATCACCGAATGATGTATTACCATTACTGAGAACTATAGTCTACCTATGTCATATTTTAATTGCCTAATCCTATCTTTTAAACCGAAACAATATAGACTACGTAACCTCGCTATGAAGTAACCTTTCGAGTACATTGAACATGGAAGTTTCAAATTATCAGACGAGTCGCTTAAGCGCTGCAAGTTTTAATAATAACCTTAAGAATATTGGCGATATAAATTTAATCTTAAGGTAAGGTTATCTTGGTGACAATGATCTTGAAATTTAAGTCCGCCTTTTGTGACTTAGAATAAGAGAGGGTAATGACGGTCAGTTAAATCATTTTTGGAATAAAACTGAAAATATATATTACACATTTATTAGGAACTTAACATTTCTGCTTTAAAGAGTTATTAGTTGGGATCAGTATAATCATCTTTTGAGTTATCTTCTAATAATCATAACAATTTAAAAAGGAAATGGCTTTGATCACCATGAGATGCACGTAAGAGCAATGGTAGTCATGATGTTGATCATCATCATCATTACAACTTTTAACTGTCCACTGCTGAACTTAAACCTCCCCCTGGGAGGTTTCGCCAGTAGTTGCCATACTTGGCAGGCGAATTGGCAACCGCAGTTAGGCTTTGAAGATGTTTATAAGAGGGACGCTGCTGCCCATTCTTCGCCCTCCCTTAGTAACCTCTTACGACGCCCACTGGAAAGGAAGAGATGGCCTATTCTATGCCGGGATCACTCGGCAGTGATGTTGATAATGAGAGTCAAATACTCTATTTACAGAATCCCAGACAGTGCAATCAGAGTGAACCCAAAGCATACAGGAAGAGCACCAGTACCATATTAGATTGTTTTTTTTTATTAAATTTAAAAAATAATTAAACATGGTAAATTATCTGCATATAAATCAAAGGTTTTCTGGGTCCTTGTCACTGTCATCTAGAATGCAATATTCGTCAGTATCTATGCCGGTCAATGAAGAGTCATTGCATTCCTGAAGAAC